AATCTAATGTTTCAAATCATTCTATCCTGTAATTGTTGGAAAGCCCAAGTATGAATGTATAATTAATGTATAATTACACCAAATTATTATAATCTGAATAACAGATTCTTGTGCATGTTTGATTCCACTTGATCTTGAGTTCTTGTACTACTCTACTTCTATAACTAGGATTTGAGGAAGTACATTGCTGGATGTTAAATTAAAATAATTTACATATAATATTTATTATCACGTTGTTTTTAGTAGGCAACAGTATCTTTTTTGTTTTAAGGAGAATTTCATTTAGAATCTCTAAACACAAAAATTTACACTACAAATCCAATAGAATTTAAAGATGCACTGCATGCTCAAGAGCCTTTCTTGCAAATTGTTGTGGACAAAAAGACACAATTGTCCTTGTTTTAAGGGCATGTTCATTATATGCACAACACAATATTCATAAATTTTCAACACAACGTTTATAAATGCACGACACATCTGATGGATATGGTTTAATTAACTTGAAGTGAAATCATAGTTTGAGTCGTGTTCAAAAATATTATTCTTAAGAGCTATTCTATCCCCATCAGATTAATGATGCAACAATTTTTTAAGATTAAATAGACTTTTTTTATTAGAAGCATGGGCACAAAACAACAAGAATTCATAGATAAACTCAAATAATTACACAGTGAATCAATAGGATAGAAGAGGAGATAAATGTTGAGAGTATCAAGGTTCTTTTTAAACTTATAGCAAGAACTATTTTTTATAGGCAGACGTCATAATGATAAACAATAAAACCATTTTAATCATAATTTGAAAAAAAGTTTTCAAATAATAAAGCTGTTTAAATTATATGTTACAAAATAATAAATAGACTTACATAATACTTAATATCATTAATTAATAATAATTTCTTTTGAAATACTTAAAAAATATTTTATAATATCCAACAATGTAGACTTGCAACATCAGCACAACATAAAGTTTATAATGAACAATAAACTTTTGTCAAAACAACATACTTCAAGTTAATATCTATCAGATGTGTTGTGTATTCATGAACATTGTGTTAAGAATTTATAGACATTATATTACATATATATGGACATTCTATTGAGAGAGGGGCAAATGCATCTTTTCACCCATGACAAAATTTGCAAGAAAGGCTTCTTAAACTTGCGGTGCAAATTTTTACATTTTGAAGGCCTCATGCGAGATTATTTCATTGTTTAATCATATTTTTTACTCTAAAAACTTATGATAAATATTTTTTAATATATTCTATATTAATATATACAATAAAATCAATATTAAAATAAATTATTTATAAGTCTCAAATAAATAGTATAGGCCCTTCTTTCTTGTCAATTAATTAAGCATCCTATATAGAAAATAATTTTTTTGATTTAATATCTATAAAATGATAAATATGGATTTCTCTCCAAGCATCCTCTCCCTCTTTCCCCTGAATTTGCGCACCAAGCAGTGCATACCCGCTGGCGGGTGTTGTTGACGGCAAGTCACTTCACCAGTTTCGGAATCGGTCGGGGCAAGCAAAAGGTTTTGACTTTTCGCCTGAAAATTCCCTTTCGCGACTCCTTCCCTTCGTCAAGTATTTCCAGTACCTATACGAATCCGTTCAGCAACTCTGCTTTCGTATTGAAAGAGTTTGGGACGAGGCTTGTTATCACAGATCGCTTGTTTGCTGCTTGTCTTTCTGTCTGTTCGCGGCGCTTGGAAAAATATTGTCTTCTTCGGCAAGCAAAAAAGGGGAAAGAAAATTGCAGCAGATTTCATGCCAAACGTTATGCTACAGTTGATTGGTACAATTCCTGTCCCAATCTTTGAATCATCCTTTGCATCTCGGAGATCGTGGGTTGTCTGATTCGGATTATTTGTGTGAAAGAACAAATAAATTTTGCTTTTATGCTACCTTTTTAATAGTCGATCCCCGATGAATAACGATGCCGCCCCAGATTTCGAGTCTAGCTCCAGGTTTGACTCTCTTCCCAAGCCTCAGGCCCCCCCCACAAAACCCTACTTTTTCACCAAATCTTAGTTCTTGTTATCACATTCCTTGCTTATGCTTCCTTCCATGCCTCCCGAAAGCCTCCCAGCATCGTGAAGAGTGTTCTGGGACCCACGATTATTTCCAATTCGACTCAAGGTTCTACCATTAGTCCCGGCGATACAGGTTGGCCTCCATTTGATGGAGCCAGGGGGACTCACCGTCTTGGCGAGCTGGATCTCGCTTTTCTATCTTCCTACGCCGTTGGCATGTTCGTGGCAGGTCATGTTGGCGATCGGATTGATTTGAGATTGTTCCTTGTATTTGGGATGATGAGTAGTGGCATTTTTACAATACTTTTTGGCTTAGGCTACTGGTTTGATGTTCATGTGCTGGGGTTTTTTATTGGAGTTCAAATTGTTTGTGGATTGTTTCAGTCAATAGGGTGGCCTTGTGTGGTTGCAGTTGTGGGTAATTGGTTTGGAAAATCAAAGAGGGGCTTGGTAATGGGGGTATGGAGTTCACATACCTCGGTGGGGAATATCATTGGTTCCATTGTTGCCTCTGGAGTGTTAGAATTTGGATGGGGTTGGTCCTTTGTGGTGCCTGGACTTCTTATCATTTGTGTGGGGATGTTGGTGTATTTGTTTCTTGTTGTGAGTCCGGAGGATATGGGATTTGTGCACTCTGTGAGTGAGATTGAAATGAACGTAGAAACAGGTGGAGTAGAGAATGTGCCAAAAATGGAAACAGAGCACGCAAAACTACTCGATCCTGATGATTCAGATTCTTCATCTGCTATTGGATTTTTTGAGGCATGGATGTTACCTGGGGTGGCTGCATTTGCCTTTTGTCTTTTTTTCTCTAATCTGGTGGCTTACACTTTTCTCTATTGGTTGCCCTTCTACATTAGGCACACAGGTAATTGCTTTTATGTGCTGATATATCAGTTTTGACATATATTTTATTTGTCTTTTGTCTCGCTTATTATTAGTATCTGCACATTATTAGTTTGACAGATTCTTAGATTTGGTTTGTGGAAGATAGATATCATTATGTTGACCTAACTATTTTTAAAGCTCGAACATTTATGTTTTACTGAAATGTGTGTGTAAAATGTTCAATTTTTTTAAAAAGTAGTTATAATTGACTTGGATGCTTAGATAATATTTCTTTTATAGATTGATACCTAAAATTGCTTCGATCCTTTTTCCTAAAGTCTTTTCAATGTTAACCACTAGGATACAGAGATGTTAAATAAGTAAACCCCCCAGTCTGCCTTTCTGATTACATTTCCTGTGATGTAAATATGCTATTTTCTTCATTGCTAATCTAGTCTGGTTTTCATTTTTAGCTGTTGCGGGTGTGCATTTATCTAAAAAATCTGCTGGAATACTCTCAACAATATTTGACATTGGAGGAGTTCTTGGTGGAGTTATGGCTGGTTTCATTTCTGACATGATTGAAGCTCGGGCCATTACTTCTATTTTATTCTTGTTTCTATCAATTCCAATACTGGTTCTCTACCGGGTTTATGGGAGCCTCTCCATGCTTATTAACATTGTGTTGATGTTTCTCTCTGGCTTTTTGGTGAATGGTCCATATGCACTTATCACAACTGCTGTGGCTGCCGATCTGGGTACACAGACCTTGAATCAAGGGAATTCACGAGCACTGGCTACTGTGACTGCAATCATAGATGGTACTGGTTCTGTTGGAGCTGCTCTCGGTCCACTTTTGGCAGGATATATTTCTACCAGGGGATGGAACAGTGTCTTCTTTATGCTAATTTTGTCTATTTTCCTTGCTGGCTTGTTCCTAGTTCGTGTGGCAAGAACTGAGATCAGAGATAAGATGAATGCAGGAAAATGATTTTGGAAATAGAACAGTAGATATACAAATTTTTTAATTTAGGTTAGGGCTGCCATTGGTGTTTTAGATGCTGTAGAAGTCACGGGATATGAAATATAAACTGAGATCGTTACCATTCAACTTTGTATTATTTACTCATTCTTTGTTCACTGATACAAAAGAAATGTACAAGATTGGTTGATTTGATTTAAAATGGTTAAATTGAAGAGTGATTATATTATACTACTTGATCCACAGTACTCTCTCGCTCTCTCTCTGGGATAACATGACAGTCTGTGATGCTCCAACATTATGCCTGAACTGTTTATCCGGCATAGTTTGGGTTACTAACACTGCCCATTTTATCTGATTAGTGACTGATCTTAATCATACTGCTCTGTGTTGACCTGGATCAACACCTTGACTGGTACAATCTTGTGAAGTTAAATGGAGGAGTAACATTTTCAACATTAAAAACTGTTTACTAAATATCGGCTAATATCAATATTCAGCTCTCTTAAGAGAGAAGGCAAAAAAGGGGGGGGGGGGAGGGTTGGGGAGATTGGTCTGACTGATTCTAGTTTAAAAAGAAATTTAAGATTACGGGTGTATTTAAATATCCCATCATGAACGACTCATGAATTCCTGTTTTGGGGGAAAAATTTTCCTCAACATTTCAATTTTTTTTTTAACACTACTTAGCTTCTAAAACTTTATTGTGAGAAAAACTAATAGAAGTTCCATTTGATAATCAATTATTTTAAAACTCTCTAATAATCAATTTTTTCCAATTAAAAACCAAGCATAGCCTACTACAACCTGGTCTATTAATAAACTTTAAGGAGAACAAGTAAATCATAAATATAATTTCTCGTCATAGATGAGTTTCATTGCGTTCCTTTACATATTATATCCTAGCTTGATTTGATCCAATCTAAACCAATCTTGGCATTTCCAAACAAGACGTACAATCCTGCATGAAAGGCCACATATCTTAATAGAAGAAGCTTGGTAGATAAACAATTATTTTACAATGATTTAATTTTGAACCCGTGAAAAATATTGTTACAGTACTTATTTCTGTGCATTACGTCTCAAATATAGATTATCATCCTCTTGAACATTGCGCTCTGGCTTTCCCATTAACAGGAAAGAATAATCACAAGGCTCTATGAATTTTATTACATTTTCAATGCCTTCCCATTAACAGGAAAGAATAGTCTCAAATACAGGGTGAACATCATTCATATCATGTGGAGATGCAGGGGAGGCATATTTTGTGTGTGTGATAAATTAATATATTTACACAGTCGCATCTCCCAAAAAAAAAAAATTCAGCTATATCACAGACCAAAAAAATATCCTATCCTCCTAAGGAGGACTTGAGATTCTGAAGTCCCTCAGCAGATATGCTTCTCTTAACTCTCGACCTCTCAACCACCACTGGTGGCGGTGGTTCTGAGTGAAAACACACCATCACAACTGTTAAATTATCTGTTGAATCTCTCTTTATGGCTTCCTCCACCATCTCTTCACAGCATCGTCTCACATCATTGTGTTCTCGAAGCCTCCTCCTTGCAAAATCTACAGCATTTTGGTTGCTGAAAACATCCCAGATTCCATCACTTCCAATTATCAAAAACTCATCTTCTTTGGTCAGTGTGATTCGTTTGAGTTCTGGCTCAGCACTCAAGGGTCCTCCTCTTTCACTCGTTTCCTTCAAGCCCTCGAGATGCCAGTCGCCTATCGCCCGTGTGACACCTAACTGGCCATTCAGATAATCGTCATCGATGAATCCACCGAGGGACTCAACTCTCTTCCTCTCTTTCATGCATAATGGCTTATGATCTTTGGACATTTCTATTGCCCTTCCACGTCTGGACAAAACAGCCCTGCAGTCTCCAGCATTGGCCACAAGCAAAGACCTGTACAAAACAACGATCTATGTATTCAAAACTCCGATTTTAAAAATCTAGTTACAACAGTTAGACAATATAATATTATATCATTGGACACCTGTCCTTTTGCTTTTATATCATGTAAGCACAGTCCACAAACATGGGATGGAAATTTACGCCGTGTTTTGAGAGGGCAAGAAGAATGGAGACAGGTGCTTACCTCCCAAAAATAATTGCAGTAAATGCGGTTGTACCAGAGGACAAGGAAGACCCAAGAGAGCATGTCTCTGCAAATTCAGCATCTGTCCGTAAAAATGACCTGGTGACCACCTTCTCTAGTTCCACAGGAAAATCAGCATCCTCAATAATAACTCTTGGAAGCTGATCGCGGGCGAACACTGCAGCACTCTCCCCTCCATGTCCGTCAAATACCTGTGCATCAAACCATTTTCAATTTACATGTTGAAATCTCAATAATCGAATGCATATCCTCCTTCATTTAAGATGAACATTCTTCATTTTACATCCTCGTAAAAGCTTCTGTATAAAATAAATTAATTGTTTCCATCCCAGAAATATGGACTAACTCCTTAATTTGGTGCTCTTAATTTAGTACCCTGATTATGTATTCTCAACATTTTCATCCCTCTATCTTTTAAAAGCACAAGTTGAACTTGTCAATTTTGTCCTATAAATGAAGGAAAATAATTGGAAAATTAATTATCAAGGGACTAAATTGAGAGAGTTACACTTTGGAAAACCAAATTGACAAATTAAGAATCTTTCAGGGAAAAATATAGTAATTTACTTCATAAAGCTTCCTTACATATATTGATATTATGAAACAGGCAGAACTCATTTCATCACTCCATACTTAAGAATCGCTGTGCAATTACAGCTCCAGAGATTATAAATTTCTAATAGCATTGGATAAGAAGTCAAGAACATTCAGTAGCTTTCAACCTAACACTAAATTTAAGGTCACTGATCACACATTAAACATTTCTTCTCAATAAAAATTTAACATGAAGATACCGTTTGACAACACAATACTCCATTATTGATTACTTAAAAAGTCCTTCACATGTCATAATTGAAACAAGAAATCTGTTTTTGCTTTCCAGTCCCCTATTTAGTGATAGATCAAGGATTGTTGAAACGGTTTTGTATGCTATCAAAACCAGGACATTAGCAGAAGAGTTAAAATTGAAGTTCATGACCACAACATGGGTTAGATGGCTTACCCCATAAAAGGAAATAACTTCCTCACTGAGTACATCACAACCAAACTTCTTTCCCAAGTCTCCAATGCAGATGTGAGTATCTTCCATGTAAGGGCGAGCTCCGATATCTGAACACTCTCCAGATCGCAGAGCAGGGACAAAGTTCATCTGGTTCTGTTTTTTGTCTGCAATCACTGTGTCCTCATTTATGCTTTCCAGCTGAAAAGCAGTTTGTATCAATCATCTCAGCAAAGGTATAATTATAAAGAACACCAACAAATTATGCCATCATTAAGAATCAATAACACATCCAACAACCAATGTCTGTCCCAAAGTTGTAAGCTTTAATAATTAACAGTCAATAGTACCAGCTAGTTTTTGACAATCAAATCTGAGGAATTTTGTGATCTTTATTTATAAACCGTAGATCAGACTGTTCTCACACGACTCTATAACAAGAATAGGAGACAGCCAAAGTTTTGTGACGTTTGACCTGAAAGTAAAAGATAGAAATCATGTATCTCATTCATATTTCATTTTCATAGAAGGCTTTTTTAAGGAAGAGATAAGAAGCATGAAACAAAGGGAAGAATAGTCCTATATATGGACGAAAACAAATAATAGTTAAAAAACAATGCAAAATTCAAAACGTAAGTAGAAAACAGTCTATAACTTGACCCATAAAAAAGGTGAAAAAAACTAAGAGAATGAAAAGGATATAGTGAAAGGCGAGGAAACACTTTTCACCAATGTCCAATCCAAACTAACAGTAAATTGTAAAAAACGGAACAATTCTACATCAAAGATGCAGCAGCAGTAGCAGCAGATGATTTGGAGGACAAGTTCAAAGATTACAGGGCCAGAATAAACGCTAATTCAAAACAATTTCGAATTTCAGAGAGTAGATACAAAAAGCTCGTTTAATAATACAAAAAGAAACACAAACAATGAATAGAGAGAATAGCCAACAGAATAGAAGCCTCAGGGCAAAGAAGACAACAGTAAAAGCCAGAAGACCCATGTATAAGAGAAGAAATAGGCCTAGCATGAAGGAAAAACTTGAAAAGAAGCCGTTTCTACACAGAAGACAAAGAAAACCCAACATGACTCACCGGAAATGAATTCCCAACACTGAAACTCCGATCGCCGGGAGTTCTAAAAGGAGGTTCCTTTTCCATGTGGGTATTCATGAGGTCACAATGCAAAGACCAAGACCTCCTATCATCTGGGTTTTCCATATCGGGGCCAACTTGCTCGGCGTCCTGCAAACACATAGTGACACAAGAAGCAGTCGGTGATGGTGGTAGTGGTTCGGCTCAGCGGCAACTTAGTGTTGTTGTAGGCACAAAAAGTAGTAAACTTTGATGGAATTTTGTGGCTTACGGGGAGAGAGAAGATTCTGAAAATAAGTTGGAAAGAAGGACGTGAAACGCTGTGAGCATAACTAGGTATATAGCATTGTCGTCAGTGGAGACAGTGAAAGGAGAACGGGAGCCGTTAAGTTCCAGATTTTTCTATGAAAGCGTGGCTCAAAATTAGTTGGTTGGGCCACAGTATTATAAGGAAACAAAATACCCTATCTCATACACGTCTCCTACTTTCATCCTTTCATTTCAGGGTTTGCTTTGCAAACTCTGTGGTTTTCCTGTGCAGTGATACATCACACTAACCATTCGTTGAAAGTTGATCTCAGTGGAAAGGATTATAAATTTCATATTCAGCTAATATTTTAACTGGTTCAATAAAATTTATTTTTTATTATTAATTTAATTATAGTTTGACCATAATTTTATTCATTAATCTTTAAATTAATGCTTTAACAGGTTTAATGATTGATTCAATTTTGAATATTTTCCTATAAACACTTAAATGTGTAGTCTTGGATTTAAACCTGTGTAAATGTAGAAAAAATGACTTGAAAAAAATATTTAAATAGACCCAACAATACTTAAATTTAACCTAATTAGCTATATTATATATATATATATAAAGTGAGGCATCCGCACTTGTAAATTTTGACTTTGGATGTATGAGTGTGTATTGGAGTAATCCCTAATGCCCAAAAAAAAAAAAAACAAGAAGATAGAGTTAAATTTTAATAAGTGGGTAGTGATATGAGATACCGTATGGTTCTTGTGAAAGAAATGAATGTGTGCGCAATAAATTCAAATGAAAAATTCTTATGAGATATTTTCTTGCTCATCACATCCCTTACACTTTATTGTGAAAAATCTTTTTTTTAGGTTTTTTTTTTTTTGGGGGGGGGGGATTTTTATACTGAAATGTTGTGTCTCTTCTTCCTTCTGGTTGGCTTATCCTGTCATGGAGAGATTTCATGAAGATTGGGGAATTTGTGGGCTTGGTTTTGACCTGTTATACGAATAATCATATCTCACTGATGTGACTCTGATTGACATCCACACAAAATTGGGGAAAAAACAAAGAAAAAACTTTGCTTCTCTGTCATTTCATTTGCCAGTTTCAGACATGATCTTCAAACTATTAATATTATTCCCTTCCAATTTTTTTTTTATCTTCACGTTTTTTTTTTGGAAGGGGGTGGGGAGTGTTTAATTAGAGCCTTTCGATTAATGCTTGCAAGTTGAGGATGGCGAATCTTAGCCAATTCCTTTATCAAAAATTCAGAGTCATGGTCAGCATTACACAACATGGGAGGGAGAGATAGATAGAGACTCTCAAGTTAATTTACATTAATGTCCTCTGTCCAATAGCTTATGTGCTTAATTATCAGTATCTAGCCCTGGAAAAAAATATTTTAGCATATAAAAGAATAACAAAAAATCATTTCCTTGTTCTATTACATGGGCAACAAGTTTTTCTACTAAGTCTTTACTATTTATGTTCATGTACCTCACGATATTCGCGTACCCGAATTGATCTTGAAAAAACTAATATCTTCGATGAATGTCGTTTGATTTTTAAAACTTATATTAGGTCTTGATTAATTAGAGTCTTTATAAGTTGAACTAGGCATGAGTATAAGGTTCTTCCAATATAATTTTTAAAAATTCATAAAGTATGAATCTAAGCTACTTATACCAAACCACCCATGACTAAGAAAAAGAAAAAAAAATAAAGAAAGGAAAAGGGAAAAAAGAAAAAAAAAGAAAAGAAAAGTTAATGATAGGGCATGAGATTCATACAGCCAGCATGTATTGTTTATTTATTGGTTTGACACATTATTGTGCATACAGGTTGATATTGTTGTTATTATAGAAAACAAAAAGGGGGACTCATTCACCTTTTTGGGTCTCAATTATTAAATCACATCATGTTATCACCCATTTCAAATCCAAGTTGCTTCAGAATTTATTGTTTGTCTCGATTGCGACCCTTGCACACAAGTGGAAGGGATTAAAATTAAGTAAAAAAAATTAAGGATTGGAAGATGATGTAATTACTTTACAAGGGCAGGTTGATTATGAAGGATTTTGTTATTATTTTACTGGGAATAAAAATTAGTATGCAGAGATTTGAATGAATTTGATTCATTAGGGCAAAAAGTGGCACCTTTTCAATGGACAATGACGTTAGGTTGCTTTCTCTTTTATGCTTTCTTCAAGAGCTAATCCTAATATCCCTAAGTATATCTCCTTCTCATGTCTAATGAACTTCTCATAGTTTACCCAACTCAAACCCTAATTTTGATCACTTTGATTACCTAACATTGTCCGTCTTAATTAAAAGTAACTCTATTATTTTTTTTACTACTTTTAATTCTTTATTTTAATTTGTTTTGTTGTTATGCCCCTCCTTTCAATGAAGATCTATTCATCAAGGGGCAATTATATAGATAAGGATAATCATGTAAATCCCCTCTCATGTTTTATTTTTCTTATGTTAGTTAAGTTAATATTTAGTTCAAGTTTAAAATAGAATCTAAAAAAAATTGATTTTGAATTTTGGCAAGTTGGAGTCCAAACAGTTCAAAGCGTAACCTAGCTAAATTTGTTTCATATCTCTATACAATATAAATTTGTCAAATTATGTTACCGGCTATCAGACATTTGTATGAAAAGTTTATAAAATTATTGATACTAAAATTTAAATTTAAATATTTTTTCACAATAAATAATTAAGTTGCATATTGATTGAGGGGGAAGGACTAATTGTGGTTGACACTATTAAAAATGTTTATGTGGCATCCTAATCATTGCCAAATCAGTTCATAAATCAAGTTGGGGAAAGACTAACAAATTTACTACAATTTTTAAGGGACATAAGGATATAATATTAAAATCATTTAAAAATTTTAAAAAATAGGTGGGGGCAATTCATGTGTCCGATTTCAATTAGATATTTACACGTTACGGGGCCAGTGAATACAACTTTAGCTAGTCAACAGCCACATCACAAGTCCAAAAATAGTTTATTACTAAATTTAAGTCATCTTTTTTTTTTTTTGACCAGCTAAATTTATGTCATCTAAATGAATGCTCAATTGCTTTTGAATGACATAATATTACAAGAATTCCTTTAAAAATAATAATTTGCACATTAAGATTCCAACAAGGACAATAATTTAATTTAGTTGGTCACGGCTATTTATGGTCAATCCACCAACAAAAATGGGCTAACAAGTAGGGAACTTGTCGGTGTCTAATCGGATGAATATTAATGCTTTTTATGTTTTCGCACTCGACTTTGTTGACACTGCAGAATCCCTCAATAAATTTATATTAATTTGAAACACTTATTCAAATTTCTTAATAAAGATTATCAACAATTTAATTTAGAAGGATGAACGGTTCAGAAACAGTTGTAAAGAGTAATGAAAAACAACACATTGGAACTCAAAATTTTAGGATTTAAGCTTATAGTTTCTTTCACTTATACACATATATATTAATTGTTGAGTCCAACTTTATTTCATATGAAACTCCTCACATAAACTCAAATGCATTTACACTTAGACATCTTAACAACAAATGATAACTGATTTATATGTGATTATTTCTTAAGTCAAAATAATAAATAATCTAAGTAAGTTTTAAAAAATGAAATTAATGTCGGCTAAGAATTCCAACTTCCTTGGATGAGATGTAAAAAAAAAAAACAATTTTTCTAAGTCACCCCAGTATTTGATAATAATGTAATGTTATAATACAAAGAAATAAGAGGGAAAAAATTACATCCATTTTTAGCTCGCAACATTGTATTGGGAGAGGGTTGGGAAAATAGGCAACATCATTGTCTGACAGAGACATGTGCCAATGTTGATGCTGCTCCATTTCATTTCCCCTTCAAACACTATGTGTGTGTGTAAACACCCACTTTCTATAAATGTGTGTGTGAGAGAGAGAGAGAGCTTGGCAGAGACACGCCCATATTTGAATGAAGGAGACATCGACAACATTGGCATTTAAAAAGATGAAGAGACGAGACACATGATGTTGGAATGATGTTAGTGGCAGAACTAACAGATTGCACCAACTGAGGTGAGGTGGATACAACTAATGCTTCTCTCTTTCCAAACTTTTCACCCATTCACTGCAGCCATGCACTTTGTTTGCCCCCGAATTCATTTGGATGAGGATGAGCCTTACAATTTAAGCAAGGCTTACAAATATATTAAAAAATTATCAATGATCTTGGGACCTAGTAATGTGAAAACTCTCATATGAATGAAAAGTCGTGGTTCTTGCTTATAACCTTAAACTCTTAGTATTATTGATTGATAAAGTTTTTACATTGGTAGCAAAATTCTAACATACATCTTTATGGAATATGAGCTAGCATCCTTAGCAGCTGATAGAGTTGTAAAACACCTCATAACACTTTTTTAAAGGTAAATCAAAAAAGATAGATGAACTTTTAAGCTTATTTTGTTAATTGAAAATGTGAATAAGTTAAGATCTTAGAGTTTATCAAAATCCATGTTTCTTGAGGTACTAGTATTTGAACTAGCCATTACGCAAATCAAGATAGTAATTCTAAGGGTTAGCAATTCAAATTGTAGTTAAACCATGGGGGATCCATTGATGGTTATTTTTTAACTTAAAACAATATTTTATGCTTAAAAAAAGTGAAAATATATATTTATAATTTAATATATTGACCAATCCAAAACTTTTGATCAAGAGATCAAGGAATTAGTTCGCTGATCAGATTAGTCAAGTTGAGTTGAGTTTTAATACCATGATTTCCCAACTTAAAAAAAACTTATAAAAATCATTATAAATTATTTATTAATAAAGTTTTATGTGAGAGATTAACAAAGGTTGAATTTAAAGGAAATGGCTGATCCTTACAATATTAGAAATCAATAAATGAATCTCTATTAAGAGATGTGCTCACATTTAATAAATATTCAAATAAAACATGACTACACATTCTTTTGCTTTTTTTGTTTTTTCCTTTTTGCCAACGACGACTCGCCATTCCTACCAAGCAAATCAACTTTGTTTGTAAGCTTTGATGTTGATGAGCGATGGGTCAAAGGAAAAACGGAATATAGACTTTAGGAAAGGAATGAATGGCTAGAAAGTAAACACGAAGATAGTAGAGGATGAATCAGTACCACAAGAGAAAGAAAAATACCGCATCAATCGAAAGACCATGATTGTACCAACAAAAAAGCATAAGGCTTGGAATCGCAAAGATGGGCAAAGGAAGACCTTTCTTGGTCCGACAAGGACATGTGCTAAGACTTGATGCTCTATCCACTTCTCCATTTCTATTGGCTACAACAATCAAATAGACAGCTTCCATGGTTGAGTAATAGAAGCACTCAAAGATATTCCCCCACATTGACATTTGCCAGAATTTGTGGAATCACAAAACTGCTATGGTACTTTAAAGCAACACCATTTATGTTTGGCTTTTTTAATCAGTGCACCTGCGCATTATGTAATGTCCAACATAGTTCCTTAGAACAGTGATAGATCCAAACAAGGACTGACACGTGGCTATCCCAATTTATGAAGGAACCCTAACCTATTCAAAAGGGTGAGGATGGAATGGATGATAGGATTGTCTTCAGGATTCCGATTCTACCGAGTTGAGTCTCTAAAAGTAGGCAAATTATAGGCATACGAGTGATTTATATTTATTTTTTAATGCATGCAAGACACATTTTATATGCAATACAAAATATTAACAAACTATTTGATACAACCAATTTCATACAGTCCAAGCTTCGTTCGATCCAGATTCCAATGAGGGATAGACAAATCAAAATTTATGAGGAAGAGCATCCAAATCAAGCTGATGGTGGGCATGATCCGAAATTCTGGTTCCATGAAGTTGAATATTTGAACTCACTGTTTATCTTGGTACTTTTTTTTTTTTCACTTCTCTTTTCCTGCACAAGATAACTTACATACGAGGCAAAATCTTAGCATTTTACTTCATTTCCTCCCTCTGAGTACCAGTGCCTGGTACTGTTTCCCTTTTTCTGACGCAAGTCCTAAATTTCACAGTATCAGCATTCAGCACGTGATGAATGTTTCCCTTTGTCTTCATGTGGCATCTAGTTTGTTCTGGGTTGTAATCCACACACAATGATGTGGCGACAACATAAAGTTACCGTATGCAAACAAAAACAGTTCACATATTCATTATTGGACCAGTCTGAACCTAGGACCTATAGACGCACCCAAGCCAGTACCAAGGTATCAAGAAGACAGTGGGTAATACCAACGAGCGTTGTCATCCTCGCTAAAGTAAAGCTATGATGCCTAAGGCTCAGACGCATACATAGATTGGCGAAGTTGTGGTCCATGGACATGTTTCCTCGATCATCCGAACAGCAAATTACTAACAGGAATTCAAGATATCAAATCCAATTACGTACCAAACCAGACACTACGAATAGCTATTAGACTCTAACATCGATAGCAATGATCATGTTGATGGGTGATGGCATAAAACAGATATTGTGGGCACCTATTTCACATGTCGTGTGCCTAAGTCAAATGTGATGCTGCTGGTGGACGGGACACAAGAATTGTTAAGGCAACCCCGAAAAAAGCGTAGGCTAAAAAAAAGCATCACGAGAATGCCAAAATGTACAGCGTTGCATTACTAAAAGCCCCAAATTTAGCTGGTATGTTCTAAAAACTCACCCAAAAAAGTAAATAGGATTGATCAAAACTTTAGTCACATTACCCAAATAAATCTCTTACAAGACCAGCACAATCTATCAAATGAAGTAACCTACAAAGAAGACTGACAATCAACTTTCAAGCTCCAGTGAATGCCTTTTTCACCCCACTGGAAGATCCCGCAGGGATCACCTTCAACACATTGAACCTCACTGTCTTTGAGAGCGGCCTATAGAAGGAATAAATAAGAAAGGATAGTCAGCAGCAGCAGTACAGTTGGATCAATATTTCATAAAATATAAGAGTAGAATATCAAATTTTACATGTCCGCAGCAGGAGAGTACATTCCTCCATGAAACCCCAAATAAACTTGCTCACCCAAGAAAACAAAAATTAGATTTTAGCAACTAATAATCATTGATTTTCGTTTATTAATCAATCCAAATCCCTCCATTGGGAAAATTCACAACTTATGTTATGACCTTATAACTACATTCTCAGTAACCCATGCAAATCGTGGCAACCAAATTGTTGTTCAAACTGAGAAGACCCTTCTCCAATCTCCATGCAGCTGATAGTGCTATTAGGTCCATGATAAAGCAAAGCTGGTAGCATGAGCGTCAGACTAAGCAGAACAATCAGTTTGGGGTGAATACTTAATAACGAAGATTGCCTCATCCTGAATCCAGGACCTTGGCATCTTGTCTTATCAAAATGGAGTTTAATAGTACAGGGACTTGCAAAACAGTGAGACAAGTTATTGTACGCAACATGTCATTAGAGATGGAGATGGAGCGACAGATGGGCTCGAGGGAGGATAGGTTGCAACACAGCAAACCTGCACCACGTATCATATGTAGATTCAAAGGGGGTTTTCTCTTCATCTCAGCTATGGTGAAGAAGGGTTATAAGGCTTGGTCTTGTGCTGCTAAAAAGAGCAATTTTGGACCAGGGTTGGGGAAGGGATAGTGGGTTATAAAGAAAAACAATAAGGGAGCAAGTTGAATATTTAACAAATTAAAGGGTTTGGATTCATAAACAAAAAATAAAAATATTAGAGCCTAAAAATGTAAAATTTATTTTTAATACTACATTGGCCAACTTTCAATCTTAATTTGCTATCTAAAAATAAATTATTTAAAAATCGGACTAGACCGAACGGTTAGACCTGTCAGACCATCGACCAAAGCTGTTAACAGCTCGGTTTGGACCGAAAATCGTTTTCATGATTGTGCTAAATTGGACCAGAGTTGAGCCGCTATTAAGTCGGAAATTGAAGTTGAACCAAGAACCAAGTCGTTTTCAGAAAACCAGATGGTTTTAAACATAATATTAAAAAATCTTTAAAAAAACTAGAAAAAGTCAAAATTTAGATCGTATTAAAAGCCAACTTTATTTTCGAACAATTCACATGTATAAAATATAATTTAAGACCATTTTTTTTATAAAGATGTTGATAATTATAGGTGCAAATGCAAATACTTTTAAATTTAGTCATATTTAATTTATCCAAGATCCACTTATATTTGACAAGTTATAAAATTATAATTGAAAATATTATTAATTTACGGTCATATTATGTCATTTTATTAATATGCTACAGATTTTTTTCTGATATTTATTTTATATATACATGTCCTATTATTTTTATTTAATTATTACATCCCCGGTTCAACCCCTGGTCTAAATGATTAGACCATAAAAACTGAAAACTGCTGAATTTTTGGTTCACTGTCCAATCCAGCTTTTGAAACATAGCTAAAGTTATAAATTGTATAACATCTCACGCAGTTCCTAATTGGTCCACATGGAAGTTCCGACGTGTAACCCATTTTTGGGGTTCCATGGAAGAACTCATAGAATACATAACACCTGTAAAACCTTACCTGCATTGGCCAATAATAACATGATCTCCTTCCTTCACACGAAAGCAAGGTGATATATGAGCAGCAATATTTGAATGCCTCTTCTCATATCTACATTTGAAAGGTGGAAAATCAGCAGATAAGACTTATCAGCAATATCTGTCAACACATTGCTAATACTCCCTAGGACGGAAGAGAAAAAAGAAACTTGGGAGCCATAGCTACCAAAGGATACCTTTGATACTTCTTGACAAAATGAAGATAATTTCTCCGAACAATAATAGTCCTTGTCATCTTAGCACTATGACAAGTACCAGCTAAGATACGGCCTCGGATAGAAACACTACCAGCGAAGGGGCACTTCTTATCAATATAGGTTCCTGTGAAAAAGAAAAAAAAGAAAAGGTCAGGGCCAGCATTAATTTAAGTGATCGTACAGATGGATATTAAAGCAAAGAAGTTTCATGTGGACTAACAAAACACAAAGGAGCATGACGAGCAATGCATAAATGCATTTTAACAAGAAAAAATATGATAGAAAACAGGGAAATGAATCAGTTGGTTGCAGAGTACCATTGTTGGCTTTATGAGTTGAAGAAATTGGATTCCTGTATGATATTATGTTCTCTGATTAGATCAACTTTCTTAAAGGGCGTGTACAATATATAATACAAGAGTGTTTTGCAACTAATCTGGCATTTTATGTTAAACTTATATTGTATATGACATAGCACTCACCACATGGTAATCCTCACTCTTCCCATATGTCTCACTTCTCTGAAATATTATAATTATATACATCAGTTCAACTACCCACACACACAAATAACTAGCACCCGCACCCCAACAAAACTCAACCTTAATGCACACCATAGCTTAAAGGAGGTTAGCAAATTTTCAAAACAACCTACTTTCCACCAGCAATCTATACCCATCCAACTAGGTTTACTAAGTTCAGCAGTTCGTTCAGCATTGTACCTTACTAGAGTATAGCGTGCACACCAGCTCATTTAGCAAGAACATAAAAAAGGCCTACAAATTTAGACCCATAAAGAGGTGTTAGGTGTATGATATTTTGATGTAGAATGCATATTAAATATTGGACCAAGGCCCAGGATGATAAGAGTCTGCAAGAGACTAGTTCTAGATATAACCAATCTCGTGCATTGCATGAACTTTGAGAAGGAAATCCAGTCGCTTGGAATTGCTCTCCATTTTTCTCTCCGTTATTCGAATACAAGGACTACATTGTTCCAGTATAACTATAGTTCATAATAGTATTGTAATGCAAACACAAACAATAAGTGACAGTAACCTGAAAGATCCCACGATGTAAAAATACAATCTGAGAGAAATCAAAATGCATACCTTCAATAGCCTCCCTGGGGGTCTTGAATCCAAGCCCAATAGATTTCCAGAAGCGATTTCCACCTTTTCCAGGCCTCTTTCCCTTCCCAGATTTCTTGGAGCTTCAACATCAATTCAACAGCAAAATCAATCACCATATGCAGCACCAACATAAAAATCAGATGAAAATAAACACCAATGAAGAAGAATAATTCTTCTGGTTAATATGCATACCTCAGAAACACTTTTGGTTGCTTCAGAAAAGCCTTCTCAGTCTACAAAATTAAGGGAGACATGATAAAACAAAGATCAGTGAAAGATTCAAACCAAAACCAATGAACTGTCGGACTAAGAAATAAAGAAAAGACCAAAGTGACGAACTTGTTCAGCCATGGTTGCCGGGGCTCTCTCAGTCGAAGGGAGTAGTGACGGCCAAGGTTGCAAAGGAAGATGAGAGGATGTATCCCAGCCGAAAACCCTAATTACTTGTCGCTTATATAGGTATCCTAGTGAATGCACATGTACATGCTGCCTCCCTTTTTTTATTTATTTCTTTCTATTGTTGTTGTTGTTGATATTTCGATGAACTTTATTTATTATTACTTTTATTATTTATTTATTTACTTGAAAGTATAATATAATTAACATAAGGACATATGAAATTCATCACAGTTTTCATATTTTCTAATGAAGTTTGCCAAGTTAGAAGGTGAAAAAACGAAGCTGGCTAAGTAAGTACTTTCTTATATTTAAGATTAATAAGTAAATAAAATCTTAAACTATTATTAAAAAATATTTTAAACCACAAACTCTTAAAATATAAAAAGTAAATTTTAAATTTTTAAATTCATAATAAAATAAACCCTAATCATTAATTTTTTAACACTATTACTATTCACACATGTTAGGGTTTTTTTTCTATAAATTTAATTTTAAAAGTTACAATTCCCATTGTGAATAGTAATGGCATTAAAAAAAATTAATGATCAAGGTTTATTTTGTTATGAATTTAAAAATTTAAAATTTATTTAGTATATTTTAAAATTTTTGCATTCAAAGCAATTTTTGAGCAAGAGTTTAAGGTTTTGTTTACTCATTAACCCTTATATTTATTGCTCTCTAATTAAAATTAATAATGAAAATTAAAACTTGAACAAGACAATATTTTATCTTTATAAAAATAAATTGACTGTGTGATAGCAATGATATTACTAAAAATTTTGAAAAGTAAAAGCAACACAGTCTTTGTATTGCGTATAACTCTTTTTACCAACATATTGCATGCAATTAATTTTTATACTTCATGCAATGCATGAAAATATTAACCTTCTTTTTGTTTAAAGAAAGAATAAAAAAGAGAAGAAGGGATAGAACTTGACGTAAACAACATATTTTATAAACAAAAATTATTACCCTTATGCTTTGTTATGATAACTTAAAAATTAAAAGCTAGATTAGAACATACATAAATAAAAAAAATATATGTTAAAATATCATTAAACCATTTAATATAGATGATAGATCAGCTCTATTTTATAATCTATGACCTAGTGCATGTTTAAAATGGATGATAAAACTTTAGTTCGACTCCTTAAATTTGCCTCAATAACAATTTAATTTTTAAATTTATTAATTATTAATTTAGTCTCCATTGTTTGAAGAGGTTCGGTAATGTACTGTTTAAATTAACTAACATAGAAAAAAAATTAAGTTGGCAACCATATAAATTAATGATAAACATCAAACTTGCTTGGAGGCTAATCTATTTTCATTTTGTTATATATATATATATATATATATTTGGTAATCAACATATTTTACACGTTTGCCCCAAAAAAATATATTTTATATATTAGATTAATTTAAGAGTTAATTCGTGCTTCCAAACCTAAAAAACTAAAGTAATAATTTAAGAAAGTATAAGAAACTAAATTGATAAAAATATATAAATTAGTCTATAATTTATTACCTTGAGCATGTTCAAAATTTATTGCTGAAAACTAAATTTGCAATTTTATTATGAGTTCCTCATTTACATTTTTAATGCACGTTTGACACTTACTTTCTTTGTTAAAATAATTAATTATACTTATAATCAGTCAGTTAACTGTCTTTTAACTAACATAATTTTTTTTATATCTGTTGTTATTTAATTGAGTATCTCAAGCTATAAATGGTTGGGTTTCTTATTTATTAAGGATATTTTTATAAAAATTCATTAATTTCATATTAGGCCTTAAAAATACCTTATATATTTAAACATCCAAACTAAAAAAAACTTTGTATTTTTTAATAGAAGAAGTATCACTTATTTTAAGATAAGTGGCACAATAGTGATTTATCTTATACTTAAATTCATTTATCCAATAAGTATTTGAATACTTAGTTATATCCATTGAATCATATCAATACTTAAAAATTATTAAAATACATTTTCCTTCAAAAATTTAAAACAACTTTCATTATCAAAACACTCTTCACCTACATTATCCCTTTCAAAAATTTAAGATTTGGTATTTTTTAGTATTATTTGACAAAATATTCCATAGGTATCCAATTAAACTAAATGCTTGTTATCGTGCCACATGTGACTCTTGGTGAAAAAATTTGTGTCACTCATTGAATTCAAATCTAATTTATCTCACAAAATTATTATAGATATATTGTAATCTATTGACAAATTTTACTACATATTTCATCCTTGTTTAACTATATGCAAAATTTTCATATGTTTTATTGTTATTTTTTTTACAAGCAAAACACTAATTTTAAAAAAAAAATTATGTAACATTTTTCCTTAATTGCTCTTCATTAAATGATAGCATTGTTAAATTAGGGGGAAATAAAAGATTGATCACAAATGCATTTTAATCTTAAATTTTTAATTTCAAACATAATCATTAAGATTACCACCCTTCTTAAACTATATAAACTGATCAAATTTTTCTTTTATTTATATAAATGGCCAATAAGTCGATTGATTTAAACAATAAAATGCTATATTTTATAATTTATCACTTAATTTTTTATTTTATTATATAACTAATTATCATATACATATACAAAATATGAGTAGTCCCTCCATTAAAAAATATAAGGCATCATCACCCAATAAAATAGTTACTTACTTTCAAACTAATTATATTTTTTCATATTCACCGCTATTAAATACCTTATAATAAATATAAATCATTATCAATAGAAGCATTTTTTTAAAAAAGTAATAATTACACCTTAAAAGATTAAAAATGAATTATATTTTTAAACATATAATTTTTTAAAAAATATTTTATATTTTTTAATAGAGACATTGATAAATAACAAGTCCCCTAACTTTACCCAATACAAGCTTCCTATTCACAAACATTTTTTTTACTTTGGCCCCCACATTTCTTTTTTTGGTTATGGGTATAAACTTTTAATATAAAAAGATTGAATTAAAAAAAATAAAGAACCACATCAAAAAACTTGACAAAAAACTTATTCATAAATAAAAATTAGTATAAAATGAATTATTATTAAAATAAAAATAAAAACTTATTTTTCTCAAATAAAATTTATTATTAATCTTAAATTTTTTGCCAGAGTGTGATTCTCTTAGAAAAAATGAGCATGGTTACTGTTTGAATGACTGTAGATGAACAGTATCAGAAACAAACTTTACATACAGTGGCGTGTATATATATGGACTGGATAAATGGGTGTACTATTTATTCTTTTTTGAATATTGCAACTTGTGATATTACCATATTGATTATATAAGCATTATAAAAACTATGCAAAAATCAGATTTTTCATTGCACAGCACACATTAGGCGCCGTAAAGAATAATTAAAAAAGAAGAAACATTGGATCTACATATCATTAAACTTAGTCGAAATTAACGTTCAGTTAATTCCGATAATACATTCTCATTTTTAAGTAACTCGTAACAGCTTATAAGCTATACTACAAAAAAAATCTTATGTTTGAACAATTGTTTAAATATACTAATAAATAGTAATACAATTCTCGTACCTTTTAAACGAACGATTTAAATTACGATGGTAAAAAAAATAACGATTTAAATTGCAAACGCAAAGTCTTGTCCACAAGTTTGTTATTACAAATCTACGTAGTTACTTACCAGATGGAATCCGCAAGTGGGAATTTAAATGAGCTCCTTGTCCCTGCAAAGTAATTATTATGCTCACTAAGCTTTCAGTCGTACATCTTATATTAGAAAAAAACTTGACACACTCCACACATACACCTTTTTGTAACTAAATATTAATATTAACCAGCGTGTGCGTGAGCGTGTGTTTTGCAGACTGAATCAATCTAAAATTTTCCAAATTATTTGAAGGATAAGCAAGTTATTAAACGCACAAGCGGCGAGACCCAGAAAACTCATGTGAAACAGCATAATGATACATTCCATTGCTTTCAGAGAAAATTATGAGAAGCTCAAATCCAATGCCCGATATTGTACAAGATGATGTCACAATTAAGGAACATAAACTTCCTAAAGATTGCCTACATCTGGACAAGCACATAATTTTAATTTGACAAAATAAGACTTCAACCATGAATTCTGCTTGCTTTGATCCAAATCTTCCACAATCAGATTGTACCTTACCTCTAATCATATGTATCACTCCATCTGCACCAAAAAGCCATTCATACGAAAATTGTCAGTGAAAAAACAGATCCAGCAGATGCAGTTGTTGAAATCATCCCGACATGGATAATTACTCTGTTTGCATCAACCAGATAAAGTCGCTGACAAACCATCTATTTCATAATGTTGAACCAGAATTTAACTGAGACCAGAGACCCAACACTAAGAAGAATACAAAAGTCAATGCTATAAATGCAATACTACGGAACTCACACACTAACCGGATGAGAAAATTCCCTTGCAAAACTGATAAGCATAATATCCCATATCTTACGCTATGAATGCAACATAAATATATCTCAAAATTAAATAAACTGGATTTTTTTTTTTTTTTGGTTATCATGGCATTCTACTGTTTTCTAACCAAGAGCTGGAGATAAGGACTCAATCAGTTCATAGAATTGAATAAAACAAACAGTCTCAGAATCGGAAGGAAAACCTTTTGGCGTTTAGGATTCGGAGGGCTTGGCTCAGAATCACTTCGTCTGCGTGATGTCCCCCCCTGCAAACCATCCACTCGTCAGCTTCTTGTCATTTTCCATTTATTTCAAGAAATTCAAGCATAATAACCATCATGACCATTACCACTTTCCATTCTTTCCCCGCCCCCATGAGGCTTTTTTTTTTTTTGGTGGGCGGGGTGTTTGGACGAGCGACACATGAATTAGGTTCTAACCATTGAGATATCCAAACTGAGCGTAGAAGTCCGGAAGCATATGAGTAAGCCAACAGCATTTGTATTTGACAATATTTAATTAAAGGAACTAACGAAGCATGCTCACCTGGGTGGAAGAATCAGAAGTTGTTTGGTTGTCTGAAGCGTTTTCACCTTGAGGGGTTACATGTGTCCCAGACCCTGCTTGTGATATGAGGGGCATGACCTCGCGGAGTAAGTTAGACAAAAATATTCCTTCCTCACTAGCACTGGGCTCCGAATCAGGAGCACGAGCAGCACCTGTTGATGTTCCAGCATGATCTGAGGTAGGATCAGCTGCTGTTCCTGGTGAACTAGAATCTTCAACATGAATTTCACCACCAGGAAAGAGTGCTCTTATAAACTGAAGTACATTATTGGGTATCTGTCTCTCAGATTCTTGGTTGTTCTGAAGTCCACCAGCCGTCAGAATATTAATGTTCACCCTGCGGGTATTAGATGGCTCTTGTCTTAAGCTAGAAGTCAATGAAGATCCTGCAAGGAATGAAAAATTACAGTAAAAGAAGTCAAATATGCCGAAGATATCATGACTTAGTCATATAAGTTGCTGGAATCTATAAGAAGTTATTAAAGTAACTTCTTTAAAATGGCTACAGAATGCAGTAACACATCGACTTCAGCCCTTTTACACTGGGAAAGAAACAATGCTTCTAAAGCATGACCACACTTACCACCTGGAATAAAGTAAATTCACAACAACGCAAAGGGTCTTCTTTCTAAAAGAAATAAACTAGTACCTGCTATTCAGAGTTTTGAGATGTGCACATGCTTTAGAAAATGGACGAGGTAGGATTCTTTGAGAAACCATAATTGATGAATGGCTTCAAAAGTATAATAATGATTGATGCAATTGCATTAATATAGATGAGTGGACACTGAAATTTGCACTGAGATACAGGATTTAGTGTGATAGTACTAAAACAGTAATCAATGAGAATCACATACGAATATACAATAACAGCAAATAACAGTCCTTTTAGGTCACACACTATGCATACAACAGATGACAGGAAATTGATAGAAGATCAAGCTGCAAACTGCAGATATGCAAGGAAAGAATCGTTGCTGAAATGTCAGAAATGCTTATTGTCATGTTACCATTTCTTGCAGGATCATCCATACTTTGCCTTTGCCCAGTGGATTCAGGTGTTGACTGTTGAGCAGCATGAAAACTAGAAGCTTGATGCTGACTGGCAGGTTGAGATCCTGATTCACTATTCCCATTTCCAGAAGGTACGTGCTGAAATCTCCCAATAACAGGATAGTAAAACCCTATAGAATTAGCAGAAGATTCCGAAGGGTTGCGACCTAAGTGGCTAGGTACTGCTGCAACCATGGTTCTTATTGGCACTATCCGTACTCCTGACTCCCCACCAACAGATAAATCCTCTGGAAATCTTGAGCTTGTTTGATTAACAGAAACTTCAACAGGATTTCTTTGTACTGAGGCAGATTGTGCATCCCCATGTTCCTCTCGGTTGACATTAGCTGAGGATGTTGATGTACCTAAAAAACAAAGGAAAATTAGCAAGCAGTTGCTTAAGAACATGATGCACAATAAACTGGCCTAGAACATGGACAATCACCTCGCCGTATTTGAATATCTATACGCCTTGGGTAAAAACTTGAACCAAGCCCGCTACCTAAACCAGAGGGGGGCTGCACAGCTCCAACAGGGGCAGAACCAAAGGCTGCTCCAGGTTGAAAAGGAAGAGGCTGGATACAGACATTTCAATAAGCAAAAGGATAGTCCTTACAGCAAGCAAATGTGTGAAAGAATAGGAAAAGAACAACCTGAACCATGATATGGTTAGGACCAGATGAGGATATAAAAACTGCTGGTCCACCATTAGCGACAGCTTCAGACTGCAAAGCATGTTAGTTAGTGGCACCAACAGGCTAATTATCTGAGGAACAAGGATTGGAAACCAAGCCTACCGGTGTTTGACCCAAACGTAAAGCCATGGTTGTACGACCAAGCTCGAGTAAAAATGCGCCAAGATTATAAAACAGAACTCCAGTCCTCCAAGCCATAGACTGAGTGTTTGACCGCAATAAGGGATCAGTTACATTAGCTTGATTCTCGAGTTGTGTTGAAAGTTGCTGTAAAATTAAACAATGAATCAAAATTTTTCTATTATGAACAACATAACTAAACAACTTTAGCTCATAATCAGACACTTGGGAAAGGAAATCATAATACAACCAGGTAAAAAAAAACATTTTTTCCTATTTTTGTAGTTAAGTGATCAGAACATCCACTAAAAAGGAAAAACCTACAAATAAGCACTCGCCAGCCTGTTCAGTGAACATCCGTCTGGTAGAATGCAAGACTTCTGCCAAGTACGCAGGTGACAAAAGCCCTTCTGATGTAGAACCTGAAGGTGAAGAAGAAATCGATGCTTCATTCCTATGAGCCTCAGCTGCTTGGATACTACTTCCCCCTTCTCTCACTGCCAATAAAAAGGTGTGCAATTATTCTCAAGGAACTAGCACATAGATGGAACCCAACATGCTGTATAAAACCAACACGGCTGACTTACCAATGGCTTCAAACTCATGCCTTAGATGACTCACGTAATGAGACAAGGTTGTCAAAGAATCAGGAATGACCTTCAAAACCAGAAAAATAAATAGTTAAGTAAATGCTTATTTTCTGCTCATCAAAGGGAAAAAAAATATGCTTTACATTCTAAAGAGGGTTAAAGGGAAAGAGAATCTTAAATCAAGAAACAATATCAGAGTTTAGTAAACCAAGAGCTTAAAACATACAGGAGGATATAATGATCCCAAAGAAGAAGCTGCTGCTGGAAGTCCAAATGCATTGCGTGATCTATCAGAGGAATTCCGCAAACCAGCTTGTTCAGTTTGAGGCTGAAATGAATCTGATATGCCACTTGAACCTGATGTTCTCCCAAGCCCTCGGGAATCATGTCCCTTCAGCCATGCAAGTTTTAACATTGATAGAAAACAGAATTAACAAGAGAAGGTGGGAATAAAATGCATCAAAGTGGTAGAGTTCTCCAGATATCTACAGAACTGAAGAGAGGATCTCACAAGCACTGAATACTTTTAAACCATCATAAAGTTCTTAATCTCCTAGACTCACATAACAGTTTGAAAATGGAAAATATTCTTCAAACTATTCTGTCTCTGTCCTTCCTTCCCCTCCAATCCCCTCACAGTCTTTTATCAAAGTCTCTTTTATTGAACATATTCTTTATGTCTCTTACTTTGACCTTACTAAGGCTGAGTTCCAAGTAAACCAGGTGTATATTAGGGAGTGAGGCTTTATTATTTATCATGGATCCCAAAAGCACACGCCATAGTGCTGTGGTGCCAAAAAATGGACAACAAGATGAAGGTTGCAATTACCCTGACATCAATCCCTTCACTGCCACTTGGAAAATTTGAAATTCCAATAGATCCTAGAATAGCAGAAATGATCTGTACAGGAATAAAATACAAGATAAGCCATCAATAGCTCGGTACACAAAATAATGGATCAACATTAACAATATCCCCCCCATGGCCTCAAATACGCCCCTTGCCTCTTCTAATATAAGCTCACCCTATTAACTTCTGGAGGAACTCCATCTCCCTGAACAGGCACATTAAAAGTTTCAATAAAAACGCCAGGAGCTATTTGATTACTGTGACCATTGTTTGTGCTTGAAAGTGGATCAGATGCTGCAACGCCAAATGGTTAGCAGTAAATACGAAATCTTTCCTGTACAAAGGAAAATTTTCTTCTAGGGCAGCCAAATGGCCACAAAACAATTGTAACCAACTAGAGAATTTTGACCGCAGGAAAGAATACTTCAAATGTACCCATATGTATTATGAGATTATAAATTTAATGATAACCTCTTCTTTTAGCAATTAGGTCCAATCATAAGATATAATTACCAAGTAAAATTCTGGCATCAATTATGAAGAATAAAACTGATTGCCTCGTTCAATTCTAGCTGCACATGATATAGACTAGTGTGCTACCAACAATGAGTGGTTTGGTTATTAACTAATTTTCTTAGTGCCAACTTATAACAGTTATGTTACACAATGTTGGATGATGTTAATTTGAGAGAGCTACTTCTGCCATTATGTTACTTTTGCACCTTAAAAGTGACACACGTCACACCGAGTTAAACAAAGTATTGGAAAGTAATTAAAACAGTCTCTATCACTTGAACTAAGCCTCAATGTCCACACACACAGGTACGATTTCTTACGTTAAATTCCAATTTCCAATATTTAAGTGCCATCAACCTTATTTTTACTTTTTTTCTTACAACATTAACCTTACTTACATTAAGGAAAAAGCTCAACTTTGAGCTTCTTGCATAGGCTCAAAGACCCTTTAGTACCTTAGTTTACCTTGCACCTTTATCAAGCAATGACAAGTATAATACAGGGTCAAAATCAAGATGTAAAAGATCATTGCTAATGGGCACGTAACATAAACCCAAAAATAATATGGTCCACAAAGAAAATAGGACCATGCTTTATACTGAATCCTATAAAGGAAAAGCTGTTAACACATTATTAAAACCAAAAAAAGATAATTTACATTATTAAATCATACCTGATTGATTGTGCAAACTTCCAGTTAGATCAGGTTGCCTCACAACCAGATGCAAGGTATGACCATCTTCAACATCTATGCCCATGTCAGGAAAGAAACCAATGTTGAAGGAATGATAACCACATGGTTACAAGGAATAAGTACAGTAAGAAGACTCGTGAATGGAAGCCAGACAAATGTCAGGCATCACAAGTCATGACTTACGAATTCAATTAGCACCAAAGTGTTAATAGCAAGATTGTCATTTGCAAAACTTGAGCCATAAGAGAGGAAGCTTCATAGTTAGTTCATCTGTTAAAAATTAAGATGCTCAATGTTTTCTAAGGATCTACATCCTGCAGGAAAAGAAAAGCCCAAAGTTTCTCACTGTTACTGTGGCATAATTGAGAAGTGTTATGCCGAAAATAGGAATGTTCTATGTTCAACACGTCTACGAGTAATGTTAAAACTATAACTCATTGCTAATTAAATAATTTAGCTTATCATTGAATTCTAGCATAATGATCAGCTGCAAACAATGCACAAAACCTGAAAACCTTCCCTCCTTACCAGCCATCTAGCCCCAAAGAGTTCATGAGCCATTAATTAATAATTACCACAAACACAATATGCTATAACAGCATTAAATGAAAGGAGGAAAGGAGGGGGAGGAGAAATTATCTAATATACCATAGAATTTTGGTGTCAGAACCAATTTTTCCATGCTGCTTATGTTCCAAGACATAAATACAAATAGAGTTGATCTCATAATTCCTTAGATTAACATTGATAAAGAACCACAAAGATAGAGCATATATGAATCCCAGATCTAGTAAGAAAGAAGCCCTCTGAAAAGTTTTCAATCTGCAAATTTTATCAGAAGCCCATAAAACTGGTTAATAACCCATCTAAGGGGAAGAAAACACCCTTGAACAAGCAAGCATTCAGCCCCGGCCACATACAAGAGAGAACATCATAAACTAGACACTGACACAATATTTTGGTCACTTAATTCCTTCCAGATCCCTTAAAACATATGAGACTCCACCAAAGTGGGAGAACAAACCAGGTATTCACCAAGAATACCAAACAGATTATTGCAAGCGTACAATCACAAAAATGGTTCAATATATAGGCTACTGAATTTGAGATGACCTTATGCATGACATGCATACCATGGAAATAGCAAGGTAAGGTCTGAGAAAGAAAACTCCATATTTTTACAATTACATTGTCAACAATCAACATGATATCATACTGTCTTTCTTTTTAAATTCCTTTAACACAAAGAAGATAGGAAAACAGAAGGGATACGGTAGGCAGAAAGGAGTTGATCATCCTTTAGAACTTTTCCTCGGCAAATTAAGCGCTGCCGCTCTGACAACACTCCAGTTACAGAAGCAATCTGTTCCTTCAAAGCAGGAACAGGCATCTGCATAACAGAGAAGACATAGGTGGGGTCAAATGGTTTATCAGCCATATTTTTCAAAAAAAAAATGCAAGATACCATCTTAAAGATGATTAATATAAATTATAGGATTGACGGAAGACTTACATTCATAAAACAAATTTTTAGAATTAGGGTTTAGCAACTTAAAATGAAAAACTACTAAAATGGAGGAAAATTAACAATATGAAGGGTTCAAGTACAAACCTTAATTGACTAAATAACACATGAATGGTTAACGTTCTAGAAATGCAAAATTCTTCAGCAAGAGTTCATAAATTTGAATCTCTGAATAAATTCATTTTTCTGACCACTGAAAACATATTACCTTCTACGGAAGGGGAAGCAAAGTGCAAGACTACAACAAGCATGCTAAAGAAATTCATAACGGGTGAAGATGTATAGCCACCTGTTTATCCACTTTGAGAGTATAAATCTGTGAGTCCAATGTTTTAATCTTTATCTCAATGGTGGCTTCTGAACCTTCAGTATCATTATTGATAGGGATCTTTTCGGCACCGTTACTTGCCATTCCTCACTGACCACAGTGATACCTGAGAAAGGAGGGGAAAATATCAGAAACTCTTGGTGGTCCCTTACTAGTACTTTTTCTTCCATTCCATGACACGGTTTTCTGTAGATTCAGTATGCTCCCACTTGAAAAAGTACACAACACAAAACTCAAAATTTAGCATGCTCTGTAGATTCCAAACTTCAACAAAACTATAAAAGAACCTTACGATGAACCAAGCCTTTGAAAATATTTTAAACAAAGCTGAAATCCTGGATCATCAACCTCATATACAGTATACATGAAATAAAATGCAACATCGATATTCAGTCTAAATGCATATTACATACTAGAATGGATAGAAAAACAGTTATCACCACTTGATATTAGTGTATACAATGCACAAATAAATTACAATAAGCTAACTTGAAAGGACACCTAAGATCTCCAGCCGAACAAGGGTTCAATGCGTTTATTTTAAGCCTAGTTTGTGTGCAGAGTATCCCAAATACAAATTTAAATCCACTTTCATTTAGGAAGAATTTTTAGCAAGAAGCCCAAGAGCCAAGGCTCAGGTGGGGGATCTTGATGTATGGTGGGTTTAATTCCTTAATCACCCCTTCTCCTCCTTGCATAGCCTACAAAGACTTTAAAAAAAATAATGATAAAAGCGTGCAAACTAACTTAAATCATTGAGAAAATAAAGCCATAATGTAGAAATATGGAGATTTTTATTGCACCTGTATGAAATTGGTGATTTTAATGTGTTGGAAGTGGGCCAACTTAACCTAGGCCCATTACCACTTTACCTAGCCTAATGGGATTTACTATTAGCACATTTATTTTATTAGAGATATTTTACAGATTTATAGGGATTCTAGAATCAGAATATTTGTCATTATCTTTCTTAGTTATTAAGGCAGATTTGATGCGATTTTATCAAATCTCCTCCCTTCTATATGTATGATTCAGTCTATCGTATGAGAACACTTTTGGCACTGCAAACTCTCATGGTATTAGAGCAATGCCTCCTATGTCGTATAGGGCAGTGCTAACCGGTCCTAGAGCTTTCACCACCAATGGAGAAATTTTGCCAAACTCCTAGGCGCAAGGTGGAGGCTCAAGCAAGACTGTGAATTAAGGAGGGATTGGTGCGAGTTCTTTTGGGAATTCGCATATGGACTCCTCCTCTTAACTTATCATCCCCATCGACTCAATGAAAATAATTACTTGAAATGGTCCAAAAATGTGTTGATGTTTGTGCAAGGGCATAACAAGGAGCATTACTTGACTGGACATCCGAAGGCACCAAAGATTGGTAATCCTAAATATAAAGCATGGTTCAGAAAACAACATGGTCATGACCTGGTTAGTTCACCCCATGAACAATGCAGTGAGAACTACTCACTTGGCAAAACTGCTCAGGAAATTTGGGAATTAGTAGGCAAACCAACTTTGTTCAAGAAAACATTGCATCTATTTTTCAAGCAAAACGGCTCTTTAAACTAACGCAAAGGAGAAATCAATCACATCATATTACACTTCCTTGATGTGGTTGTGGCTGCATATAGAACTATATGAGGTTCATCAATGGTCATGTCATACTGACGAGGTGCATTACAAAAAGGTAGTTGAATGTGAAAGATGCTACGAATTTCTTCTCAGTCTTCATGATTTGTTTGAGGATCTCAAAAGTCCAATAATGGGTATGAAACCTCTTCCTTCACTCGATAAAGCATTTAATATGATAAAATATGAGGGAAGCCACAAGGCTCTTGTTCAACTTCCTTCTTCTGCTCCTTTACCAACTACTGAATCCTCAGCTATGGTGGCCGAAGCAATCAAGGGGGAGATTTAAAAGATAAGAAGTTTCTTCGTTGTGATCATTGCAACAAGAATGGTCACACTCGAGAGACTTGTTGGCAAATCCATCGTAAACCTACCCACCTGAAGCAAAAGAATAAAGGTGATAGCAAAGGTTTTGCAATTAGTCAAATTGCTAGTGAAGGAAATTCACTAAACAATGAAGAACTTGTTGTGCTCAAACAAATCTTAGAAAGGTGTGCTCAAGAAAAACCAAGTGAGAAACTCTCCCTCAGTTACATTGGATCATGTAGGTACAACTCTATCTACTGCCTTAGTGCTATTACTGGATGTAAAAATATTTGGGTTGTTGATTCTGGTGCTACGAATCACATTATTGGATTCCAATAGTTATTTCTTGAGTTTAGTCCTTATTCTGAGCACATCCGTGTGCAAGTAGCTAATAATAATTAGGCACAAGTTATGGGGTCTAGAATTGTTGTTCTTTCAGAGTCTATTGTGTTGAGGAATGTGTTATATGTACTTGATATTCAGTGTAATTTGCTGTCCATTAAGTGCATGGCCTGTCAATTAAATTGCCTTGCTATCTTTGACAAGTTTCAATGTGTTTTTCAAGATTTAGCCTTGGAGAAGATGATTGGCAATGCTAAGGAACACAATGGACTTTACTACCTAGAAGATAAAGGTCTTTTAGCCAATTCTAGTTCTGTTTCCAATCTTGTTTGTGCTTCAGCTGTTATGTCTCAAGAAGACACTTGTTATGGCATTTTCAATTATGTCACCCTAGTTTTGACTATATGAAAATTTTGTTTCCAAACTCAATGAATAAAGTCAATTTGTATTGTGATATTTGTCAGTTTGCTAAACAAACTTGCAATCCTTATCCTATTTTTAATTATACGCCTACTAAACCTTTCACTCTTGTACACAGTGATGTGTGGGGTCCCTTTAAAATCGAAACTCACTCTAAAACTAAGTAGTTTGTTACTTTTATCGATGATCATACTCCTCTTATGTGGCTGTTTTTAATGAAAGGCAAGTTTGAAGTTGTTGCTCTCTTTAAAAAAATTTTAATTTTGTTAAAAATGAATTTCAGACTTCTAGTAAAATACTTCATAGTGACAATGGAACTGGGCAATTGAAAACAAATTTTTGAACCTTTCTTACTGAAAAAGGGATACACCATCAAATTTCTTGTGTCCATACACTCCAACAAAATGGAGTAGCTGAGAGAAAAAATAGACATCTCTTGGAGGTGGCTAGATCTCTTTTATTTAGTAGCAATGTACCCAATAAGTTTTAGGGAGATGCTGTTCTTACCACTGCCTATCTCATCAATCGTACGCCATCAAAAGTCCTCAAGTTCAGAACTCCTCTCCAAAGTTTTTTAGAGTCTTATCCTCAATCATATCTTATTAATTCTCTTCCAAAACAAGTCTTTGGGTGCACGGCTTTTGTGTTTAATGATGAGGTCGTGAAACTTGATTCTAGATCTATTAAATACCTCTTCTTGGATTATTCCTCGACAAAAAAGGGGTACAAATGTTACTCTCCTGAAAAAAAGGAAGCTCTATGTCACTATGAACGTTAAATTTGTTGAAATACTACCATTCTATCCCAAATTACCCATTCAGGGGGCGAATGATATTGAATGGTTAATTTATGCCACTACAACTGACCACTTAAGTAATCAATCCACTTGCATCACTAATATCAGACCTTACACATCACTTGACAGCCCTATCAAGCCCAATTGTAAACCTGTTTGTGCAAGTCCTGACATCAGAGTACCTAATCCTGACCTTATTGCACCAACTTCTGAAGCTGAAACCCCATGTGATCACCATACCAGTCAAGAACAGCCTTCTACTAACTCTCACGAATCTGTGTTTGACTCTATTATGGATGAAACAAGGGAAAATCAGCCTGGACAGCTCACACACACCGAAGGTTCCATTGATGTTCCAAGGCAAAGTCATAATTCACAACTTGAGGTTAATCCTGAAGATTTTCAGTGGCCTATTGCTCTTAGAAGTACAACTTGTTGACATGTCCCATGGGAAGTCAGTTGTAGGCAGTAAATGGGTCTTTACTAAGAAGTACAACTTGAATGGGAGTTTAAATAAATATAAAGTATCGCTAGCTGCTAAAGGTTTTACCCAAACCTATGGCATTGACTATCAAGAGACATTTGCACCTGTGGCTCAGTTTAACACTATTAATGTTTTGCTAACTCTAGCCACAAATTTAGATTGGCCACTACATCAACTACATGTTAAGGATGCCTTCCGAAATGAAGACTTGGAAGAGGAAGTGTACATGGAAACACCCATGGGTTTGAGAGGACCCAAGAATGCAAACAAAATCCGCAAGTTGCGTAAGTCCTTGTATAGACTGAAGCAATAACCTAGAGCTTGGTTTGAAAAATTCACATGTGTTGTCAAAGGATTTGGTTATAACCAGTGCCAAGCAAATCATGCTTTATTTGTAAAGAGGTCTGGTCAAAAAATTGTTCTACTAATTGTCTATGTAGATGATATTGTGCCAACAGGTATTGACACTAAAGAACTTGACAAATGAATAAGAAACTTGCTACCCAATACGAGGTTAAAGATCTCGGCTATCTTAGGTATTTTCTTGTGTTTGAGGTAGCTCGGTCATCTAAGGGCATCAATGTCACAAAGAAAATACACGCTGGACCTTCTTAAGAAGACTAATATGATGGGTTCTAGACCTACAGATACTCCAATGGAGCTTAATTGCAACCTGAAAGTAAAACCTGATGGGAAATCAATCAATAAGGAGAGGTACCAAAAAATTGGTAGGAAAGTTAATTTATTTATCTCATACCCAACCAGATATGTCCTTTGCTGTTAGGGTTGTAAGTCAATTTGCCAGCAATCATAGAAGGACTATATGAAAGCTATCTATCGTATTCTCAGATACCTCAAGACAACTCCAAGGAAGGGATTATTCTTTTCTAAAGGAGACAGAAAGAGTGTAGAAATCTACACAGGTGAAAACAAGAGAACACCCGACACTAAAAATGAAACAAATGTAGAAGTTTATAATGATGCTGATTGGGAGGTTCCATTCGCAATAGGCACTCTATTACATGGTATTGCACCTTTGTGTGTGGTAATCTTGTGGTTTAGAGAAGTAAGAAACAACCAGTTGTATCCAAAAGCTCAGTAGAATGTGAATATAAGGCCTTACCACCTTAGCCCTTGGAATTTGTGAAGGTATATGGGTTGTACAATTACTCAAAGAGCTCAACATAGAACCACATACTCCAATTAAAATGTGGTGTAACAACATGGCTGCCTTGAAGATTGCCAACAATCCAGTTCAACATGATCGTACAAAACATGTGAAAATTGCTAGCCATTTCATTAAAGAGAAAATAGAAGCTAAAGTCATAGATCTCTCCTACATTCAATCAGGAAAGCAAGTTGTAGATGTGATAACCAAGCCTCTTGTGCGAAACAAGTTTGATAAACTAATGGGCAAGCTGGGAATGATCAACATCTTTTCGCCAGCTTGAGGGGGAGCATTGGAAGTGGGCCAACTTAACCTAGGCCCATTGCCACTTTACCTGGCCGTAATAGGATTTATTGTTAGAACATTTATTTTATTAGAGATATTTTACACATTTAAAGGGATTTTAAAATCAAAATATTTGTGATTATCTTTCTTAGTTATTAGGGCAAATTTGAAGTGATTTTATCAAATCTCCTCCCTTCTATATGTATGCTTTGGTCTATCATATGAGAATATTTTTGGCACTGAAAACTCTCATAATGATATAATGGCCAAAAGAAAACCGCAACAAATTAAATCTTAATTGCTTCAAATGAAAATGCAAGCAATAGAATGCAACATAAACAGAATCTTGAGATGAAACCCAAAAGTACGCTTAGCCCCAAACAAAGAAAGCAAAAAATGATTATGCATTCCCAAAGTTCACAAAAGGGATACTGTTATAGGAACTATGTATGATTTGGAACAAGACCCCAAATAACAACTTTGGCTCATTTACACTCTCAAAATATCTTATGTTGACAGCATTAATAAAACCCTGGTAAGCATCTCTTCCTGTTTGTGTAATTAATGGTTACCGACAACCCAGAATGCCAAAGTAACTGACACCAGCCACAAGAAAAGACCATAATTCGACAAAACACAGCATTCACTGTCTTGTTTTGCTAGTGTTCAAGTCTATGGTGCAATAATAAGAGGCTGCAATTAAACAGGCGAAGACTTTCAGGCCGAACAAAGGCAAGCAAGTAACTACAATACAAATTAATCAATTAGATTTCTCTTTATATTCCATTGTAATGTTTACATGTTTCTAAACATTGTATGGAAGAATTTTTAGTGTGTACTCTGCGTCTATCAGCAAATGTGGCCTATGGTTTTTCAATTAAGTTCTGAACATCTTTTCAACATTGTTTGTAGTATTCCCGTCCTCTTGAACATCTATTACAATTGAAGTGACCAAATTCACAGAAAATCGAATAAATAAAATTGCACGAACTTGTAAATATAACACATTTACTCAGCATGCATTGATCTATATATTTAAAAAAAGAAAAAAGTTGGTGCAACCACCGATGCTGATTAACTAATACCAAATTAAAAGTGAAAGCAGAAAACTCAATTACAATACCTAAACCCTTAATCGGAAGAAGACAATTCAAACAAGCTAACCACCAGCAAAACTCAAGCAGAATGATAATTGATAGCCCATATAGGGCATATATCAAGGGTTACACGAAAATCAATCGCGAAGCAAGCAGTCAAAGGCCAAAGTACCGAAAAACTTAATGGCTACCTAGAAGGAAAAGAAAAGATATCCTGAACAAAAACAGACAGCGGTATCGCAGCGAGGTGGAGTGAAAGTGGGCAACGGATTGGAGAGAGAGCGAGAAGCTTTACCTTGGCGCTTCACTGCAGGGCTCGTGGAGAGATTTTCACCTGAGGGTCCAAAGGGAATGGGCGCATCAAGCCCCGCAAAAGCGCAGACGGTTTTAATATGCAATGTTACCGGACGACGCTAAGATTATACAGAAACCTCCCTCACATTCCACTTTCCACAATTTTGTAATTCACAGTCACACACTCATACCTCAAAAAAAAAAAAAAAAAATTAATTATTTAATCTTTATAATTTTAATCTAATTATAACTTAATTTTTAAATTTCAACTCGTAACTTAGTTCCTAAAATTTTGACTCAGTTGTAAATCAATTCCTAAACTTTATCTCTTACAATTTAGTTTTCAAAATTTTAACCTCTTAAATATTGGTCCCTATATTTTAAAAAATAAAATTATAAAAATTAAAAATATTTTAAAATTTATTACTAATATCTTAAATTATTAAGCTATTTTAATATTTATATATTAAAATTTTAAAATATTTTTAATTTTTATAATTTTATTTTTTAAAATATAGGAATCAATATCTAATAAATTGAAATTTCAAGGATTAAATTGTAAGAGGCAAAGTTCAAGGACTGATTTACAATCGAATTAAAATTTCAGGAACTGAGTTATAATGAGTCAAAGTTTAAAAATTGAATTACAACTAGGTCAAAACTACAAGAATTAAATAATTAATTTTCTCAAAAAATTTTAATGCATTTGCCCAAATCGCCATCATTTTTTTTCTTCTTTCCTGAATTATCGCTCATCAATATGTTAATATAGGGCAAATTTTAAAAATCTTCTTAATCCTAAATACAGGATAAAATTAACATTAGTAATTATTTTTTTTCATAGTACTCTTTATCTATTTATTTTAATTTAAATTCCTAAATAATAATTCAATATGGTTATTAATTACAAAAAATAACAACAAGATTGAAAAGTTACATATTTTAGAATAATTTTAAGGGTATAACTAGTATCTTTTAATAAACACAAAGTTAATTAAGTTTACCTTACTCCCTCTATTCAAAAATATAAAATATTTTTAATTAAATATCACTATCAAAGAAAGTAATTAATTATCTTTAAACTAAGACCATATTTTCATATTATCTCTATTTAATATGATATTTTACTTTAAAATAAATATAAAATGATCTATTTATTAAGAATGCTTTTATAAAAAAATATATTAATTATACATTGAAACAGTAAAAAAAAAACCTCACATTTTTTAACATAGAATTTCTCAAAAAATATCTTACATTTTTTAATGAAGAAGTATATCAAAGGACCAAGTGGAGTATTAAAAACCAAACCAATTCTGAAGTATTAAATACCCTACAATAAATATAAATTTATTCATTAATAGGGACACTTTTGAAAAAAAACAATGATTACACTTTGAAAGATTAAAAATATCTTATATTTTTTAATATCCAACTTCTTAAAAAATGTCTTATATTTTTTGACGGAGTGAGCAATAAATTAATAATTATGAGTAGGGTTGCACAAAGGACTAACCTCAGGACTTTGGTTTAACTTGAAATCTGGTCCTTTTTATGAAAAAGACTGAGTTAAGCAACTCGTGATCTAGTCTCGTCTCAGTATAACCCGAAGCCAAACAGGACTAGACTAGTCCGGTAGAACTAGGAGACTAGTCTTGGTCTTGTCCAGTATGTCACTTTCTTTTTCTTTTTCATACATAAGAGGTAGCAATTTATTTCAACATAATAAACTCAATTAACATAATAAAATTACTTATAGTCATATAAAATTTAGCACAACAATAGCAGTTATAAATTTACAACAATCTCCAACAACAAAAAAAAGTATTTCGGTTACAACACAAATTATTGAAATTAAACAACCTTCAACAATATTAAACAACATTCAATATATCTAAAGTTCATTACATCAAGCCAACAACAAATTTCAATAATAAAAGGAAAAGGCTGAGGTTGGTCAATGCTATAATTTTGCTTCATATCCATAACTTCACAAGTTTAAAATACAAAAAATATTAATTATTATTATAAATTAACTTATTGTAATAATAATTAATACATTAATTATAATTATATTAAATAAATTTATAGGACTAGACCGAACTAAGTGATCCATATGTTTAGTCTCTTATTTAATACAACCCGAAGAAAGAGTATAGTCTTTTTTATTCTGAAAGACTAACTTTTATTTAGATCGGATAGGATCAAGTTTGTCTTTAGTTGAAACGGATCACATTGAATTAGAAAACTTTTGTATAGCTCTAATTATGAGTGTGAGATTGGGTTTGTGTGCACATTTTGAGTAGGCACAAGTGATGGCACTGGAGGAGGAAGAGACTCTTGAATCTTGATGGTCTGCATGTTCTGCACTCTTCGCAAAAGCTTCCATGCTTTGGGCTCGTGGACATAGCCTTCAAACCAGCTTTTCTTTTTGGAGCATTCGAACCCTTTAGCCGTTTGTCAGCTTTTTAGACATTTGCGTGCGTGCGGGTGATGGAGACAGTGGTGGCTAGCTAGAAAAGCACGTACGAGCACATACAAACGCATATATATTGAGGGATTTTATTAAAAACCAGCGCAATAACGTAAATGTAGAGAGGCTGTCCTCCAAATTGTCGTCCACTCAAGCCTGTCCATACCCGTGCTACCCCACCCATCCATGGAACTGCTGTTCAGGTCAACTTCACCTCAACTGAATGAACGGACGTTACTACATTCAAACCTTTCATTTCTATCTCTTTTTGGACTAGTTATCTTTTTAAATAATTCAAAGATCTTTTTATAAATCAGAGGCAGAATTTGTGGGAAGCATTTATTACAGGATTAGGAGTGATTTTTATCTTTGAACTCTACACAAAAATTTTACAAATATTTTTAAATTTAATTATGTATCCCTTAACTTTAAAAATTTTTTTATTCTTATCCTGCCGATTCGTTTTCTCATCGTTAGTAACCTCCACAACATAGTTTTACACATTCACATCTCCAAAATATATATATATATATATCAGCTATATCACAGACCAAAAAGATATTCTATCCTCCTAAGGAGGACTTGAGATTCTGAAGTCACTCAGCAGATATGCTTCTTCTGACTCTCGACCTCTCAACCACCAGTGGTGGTGGTGGTTCTGAGTGAAAACACACAATCACAACTGTTAAATTATCTGTTGAATCTCTGTTTATGGCTTCCTCCACCATCTCTTTACAGCATAGTCTCACATCATTGTGTTCTCGAAGCCTCCTCCTTGCAAAATCTACAGCATTTTGGTTGCTGAAAACATCCCAGATTCCATCACTTCCAATTATCAAAAACTCATCTTCTTTGGTCAGTGTGATTCGTTTGAGTTCTGGCTCAGCAGTCAAGGGTCCTCCTCTTTCGCTCATTTCCTTCAAGCCCTCGAGATCCCAGTCGCCTATCGCCCGTGTGACACCTAACTGGCCATTCAGATAACCGTCACGGATGAATCCTCCGAGGGACTCAACTCTCTTCCTCTCTTTCATGCATAATGGCTTATGATCTTTGGACATTTCTATTGCCCTTCCACGTCTGGACAAAACAGCCCTGCAGTCTCCAGCATTGGCCACAAGCAAAGAGCTGTACAAAACAACGATCTACGTATTCAAAACCCCGATATTAAAAATCTAGTTACAACAGTTAGACAATATAATATTATATCATTGGACACCTGTCCCTTTGCTTTTATATCATGTAAGCACAGTCCACAAACATGGGATGGAAATTTACGCCGTGTTTTGAGAGGGCAAGAAGAATGGAGACAGGTGCTTACCTCCCAAAAATAATCGCAGTTAATGCAGTCGTACCAGAAGACAAGGAAGACCCAAGAGAGCATGTCTCTGCAAATTCAGCATCTGTCCGTAAAAATGACCTAGTGACCACCTTCTCTAGTTCCACAGGAAAATCAGCATCCTCAATAATAACTCTTGGAAGCTGATCGCGGACAAACACTGCAGCACTCTTCCCTCCATGTCCGTCAAATACCTGTGCATCAAACCATTTTCAATTTACATGCTGAAATCTCAATAAACGAATGCATATCCTCCTTCATTTAAGTTGAACATTCTTCATTTTACATCCTTGTAAAAGCTGCTATATAAAATAAATTAATCGTTTCCATTCCAGAAGCATGGACTAACTCCTTAATTTGGTGCTCTTAATTTAGTACCCTGATAATGTTTTCTCACATTTTCATCCCTCCATCTTTTAAAAGCACAGGTGGAACTTGTCAATTTTGTCCTATAATGAAGGAAAATAATTGGAAAATTAATTATCAAGGGACTAAATTGAGAGAGAGTTACACTTTGGAAAACCAAATTGACAATTTAATAATCTTTCAGGGAAAAATATAGTAATTTACTTCATAAAGCTTCCTTACGTATATTGATATTATGAAACAGGCACAAATCATTTCATCACTCCATACTTAAGAATGGCTGTGCAACTACAACTCCAGAGATTATAAATTTCTAATAGCATTGGATAAGAAGTCAAGAACATTCAGTAGCTTTCAACCTAACACTAAATTTAAGGTCACTGATCACACATTAAACATTTCTTCTTGATAAAAATTTAACATGAAGATACCGTTTGACAACACAATACTCCATTATTGATTACTTAAAAAGTCCTTCACATGTCATAATTCAAGCAAGAAATCTGTTTTTGCTTGCCAGTCCCATATTTAGTGATAGATAAAGGATTGTTGAAACGTATATGTATGCTATCAAAACCAGGACATTAGCAGAAGAGTTAAAATTGAAGTTCATGACCATAACATAGGTTAGATGGCTTACCCCATAAAAGGAAACAACTTCCTCGCTGACTACATCATAACCAAACTTCTCTCCCAAGTCTCCAATGCAGATGTGAGTATCTTCCATATAAGGGCGAGCTCCGATATATGACCACTCTCCAGATCGCAGAGGAGGGAGAAAGTTCACCTGGTTCTGTTCTGCAATCATTGTGTCCTCACTTATGCTTTCCAGCTGAAAATCAGTTTGTATCAATCATCTCAGGAAAGGTATAATTATAAAGAACACCAACAAATTATGCCATCATTAAGAATCAATAACACATCCAACAACCAATGTCTGTCCGAAAGTTGTTAGCTTTGTGGTCTATGGTTTTTCAATTAAGTTCTGAACATCTTTTCAACATTGTTTGTAGTATTCCCGTCCTTTTGAACATCTATTACAATTGAAGTGACCAAATTCACGGAAAAACGAATAAATAAAATTGCACGAACTTGCAAATATAACACATTTACTTAGCATGCATTGATCTATATATTGAAAAAAAAAAAAAAGAGTTGGTGCGACCACCGATGCTGATTAACTAATACCAAATTAAAAGTGAAAGCAGAAAACTCAATTACAATACCTAAACCCTTAATCGGAAGAAGACAATTCAAACAAGCCAACCACCAGCAAAACTCAAGCAGAATGATAATTGATAGCCCATATAGGGCATATATGAAGGGGTTACACGAGAAATCAATCGCGAAGCAAGCAGTCAAAGGCCAAAGTACCGAAAAACTTAATGGCTACCTAGAAGGAAAAGAAAAGATATCCTGAACAAAAACAGACAGCGGTATCGCAGCGAGGTGGAGTGAAAGTGGGCAACGGATTGGAGAGAGAGCGAGAAGCTTTACCTTGGCGCTTCACTGCAGGGCTCGGGGAGAGATTTTCACCTCATGGTCAAGCCCCGCAAAAGCGCAGATGGTTTAATATGCAATGTTACGAGACGGCGCTGAGATCATACACACACCTCCCTCACATTCCACTTTCCACAATTTTGTAATTTACAGTCACGCGTTCATACCTCAAAAAAATTTAAAAAAATTAATTATTTAATTTTTATAATTTTAATTTAATTATAATCAGTTTTTAAATTTTAATTCATTATAACTTAATTTTTAAAATTTTAACTTAATTGTAAATTAATTTTTAAATTTTATCTTTTATAATTTAGTCCCTAAAATTTTAACATCTTAAATATCGATTATTGTATTTTAAAAAATAAAATTATAAAGATTAAAAATATTTTTAAATGTATTACTAATATCTTAAATTACTAAACCCTTTTAATATTTATAAATATTAAAATTTTAAAATATTTTTTTATAATTTTATTTTTTAAAATATATGGATCAATATTTAAAAGTTAAAATTTCAAGAATTAAATTACAAGAGATAAATTTAGGAATTAATTTACAATCAAGTCAAAACTTCAAAACTAAATTATAATAAGTTAAAGTTTAAAGATTGAGTTATAATTAGGTTAAAACTATGAGAATCAGGTGATTAATTTTTTCAAAAAATTTGAATGCATTGTCCAAATCGCCTTCATTTTTTTCTTCTTTCCTGAATTATCGCTCATCAATATGTCAATGTAGGGCAAATTTTAAAAATCTTCTTAATCCTGAATATAGGATAAAGTTAAAATTAGTAATTATTTTTTTCAGATTACTCCTTATCTATATATTATAATTTAAATTCCTAAATAATAATTTAATATGATTGTTAATTACAAAAAATAACAAGAAGATTGAAAAGTTACATATTTTAGAATGATTTTAAGGATATAACTGGTATCTTTTAATAAACACAAAGTTAATTAAGTTTACCTTATTCCCTCCATTAAAAAATGTAAGACATTTTTAATTAAATATGACCATCAAAAAAAGTAATTAATTGCTTTTAAATTAACACTATATTTTATATTATCTCTATTTAATATGATATTTTACTTTAAAATAAATATAAAATAATTTATTTATTGGGAGTGCTTTTATAAAGAAATACATTAATTACACATTGAAGTAGTAAAAAAACCTCACATTTTTTAACATAGAATCCTCAAAAAATAAAGTACTATTTTAGTGATTAATTATCAACATCATAATCAAAGCATAGTCATACCAGCTATGAAAAAACATTTCATTGAACCAATTAATATATTAATTCAACAATTTACCTGTTTAATAAGTGGGTCCGCGTTTTCAATACTACAATTTTATAGATTAATTATCTAACAAGTTCATCTTTAGTGAGATCAATTTAATGTTTTAAAGTTTATTATCATCAAATTAAACTAAATGTCTTGGCTCGTTAAATTTAAAGATAAATTACATTATTTATTGCTCCTGTCCCATTTTAATTATTGGTTTAGCATAGTTATTTATCCCATCTTAATTTTGCCTTGGTGAAACAAAACTTGCCCCCATTCAAGGTGTAGTTGTCAGGATTCAAATTAAATCTTCATAACCAAAATTGAACCATTTGACTGTAGTCTTAAATAGTAAAGAAGATTCACATGCCAAATTCTAAGTAATAACATAAATATTAAAATTTTAAACAGATCACTTTTTAGGGTGTAAAAGTTTTCTAAGTTATGACCAAATTTAATTGTCATCCTTTTACATGATTTTACGTGGCCATTCTTGTTCAAAAAAGAATAATAAAGAAGATTTAAAGACATATTACAAATTATCAAGAAAAAGGGGAAAAAAGGTTTTTGATTTCTCTCCCAAGGGTTCTCACGTGAGAAGGGGTTGCTTGTTGCCCTGCAAGGAATTGCTTTGATAAGGCATTCCCTTCCTCGTTATCAAAGGATTCTCCATGCGATGGCAAAGTGGTTGGTGAACCCCATTCTTTTCTGATTTGTCATAAATCAATACTTGGTATATATTTTTAGGGTAGGAAATGCATCAAGTCTCTCGTTTGCACGCTTTATAACGGCATGACCGAATCTTAAGAACATGTTTCTTCTTTGCAATGGAAGTATGGCGGTGTGGGGTGGTTTGGATGCTCTTCAGGTTTGATGGTTGAAGAACACAATTTTACTAGGATTGATGTTTGGCTTTGGAATTCCTTGAATGATACTAACTTGCTTGAAAAATAAAAGATCTTGATAGCTTGTTTACTTTGGCAAATTTGGAAAGCCCATTGTGCTTTTGCTTTCAGGAAAAAATGCTATGATCCTCTGAGTATAATTCAGCTAGCTTCAGACTCTCTTAATTCATTTTGGAGAGCTGATACATAAGCTGGAACAGGACTTGATCCTAAGAGCTCGAATAGTAAAGCACTGGAGGTGTTGAATACGTGGCATAGTGATTATGGTATTTGTTGTTTGACACTGATTAGCATCTATTAAGGACAGTAATGAAGCCCATATTGGTCTTATTGTTAGATATTCTTGTGATGTGTGTTTATGCATCAGAGGTGATTGGCATTTTCTACTTTGCCTTTCAAGTTTAAAGTGTTAGCATTACTTTCTGGTTTGATGTGGTTCCATGAGGATGGGCTTGGAAAGGTTTTAGTTATTTCAGATTGTATTCCACTAATTCAGGCAATTAAAGGTGTAATTGCTTGCCCAGAATAGGAGTGTCTTTAGAGGAAATTATCAACCTTGACAAAGCTCTTGGTTCTTGTTGCTTCATGTAGACTCCAAAAAATTATATTTCAACTGCTGATTGGTGTGCCAAAGTCGCTAGCAACACTTGATGATCTCTCAAAGGCTAGCAACACTGTCCTTGATTTTTGTTCCTCTGTAATGTTTTTTTTTTTTTCATTTTTTTCCTTTTCATTTGCCGTTTATGGTTTAGTTTTTTGTTGTTGGTGGTTAGCGTTGTTGCTACTCTGTTGCATTTTCTGGGTTTTGCCATTGGTTTGAATGAATTATTTTTCTTGTTGCAAAAAAAAAAAAAAAAGAAAGAAAGAAAGAAAAGAAAGCAAGTCCAATTAGTTTTGTCTCTCTTTTTTTTCCCTCTTAGAAGCGGTATTATCGTTCTTCAAATTGATGCTCTAGAGATATTTCAAAAATTTGAAATGATTTTATTTTACAGGTTTTGTGATGTTTGTTTGAATGTTTGTCTCTGGCTTGATTTTTTTAGTGTAATTATTGACATTAATGAGGCTTCTAACCTTGAGCGAAGTTTGGTCATCTCATTTGAGTTTCCAGATCAAATAAATCCAAATAATCTTGATCCATGCTTTTTTTTCTTTTTCCTCTTTAAAATAAAATTTGTCGTTTTCGCTGAGAGGGTGCGCAAGTGAACAGAACGGGCCAGAAACAAATTAGTATCCTTCACGTACATACATAATAATACTATTAAAATTTAATATAATTCGGTGAGTTGAATCAATAAATTGTTAAATTGAAATCTTGATCATTTTTTTTATTTTTTTATTACTTTCTCATGTAATAAACATTACCTAACCATCGTCTCAACTTCAAGAAACCCCCTAACTTTTTTTTTTGTTCTGATTTCTAAATAACACTCCAACGGCCCATAGATTGGGCTTGAGATGGAACTTGGTGTTTTGCAATGGGCTGGGCTTATCTTATCTAAAAGGTGCCGCCGAACATTCTGGTCCTTTCATTAAAAAAAAAATTGTACTGTTTAACTTCGAAAGCATAGCCAAGATCTTCTTCCTTGACATAGATAATTAACAAAGGGACTGATAGAAATAATATACTTTTACCTAATACTTTTAAATACATAAATACCTCTAAAGATCTGTTAGCATTCTAATTCTAGTTTAAAGTGTCTTTTTGGGCCCAAAGAAGCATGTGAAAAGGAATAAAGCTTCCACAGGGTATTTATAGATAACTAATAATGATTTCAGTTTTTAGTCCAGCACTGGTAATTTATTGGCAAGTTTTTATATGAGTGGTAAGTTTCTTGAAACAAAACTAATAAAAATATATTAGGATAATAACATTTTTAATCCTCAACTTTTTTTCAATTATTAATTTGGTCTCTCAAATTTATTTATTTTTCATCAATTTGACTTCTTAAGTTTGCTTAATTATTAATTTAATTTTTATTGTTTAATAAGGAAATAATACTATTAAAATTTGCTGATATAGATCATTAAATGTTAGTAGCAACCACACAGATGAAACATTATTCATGTAAGAAAAAACATACTCAAAAATTTTTAAAAATAAAGAACAAGATGACACATGAACTGATAAAGACTAAATTGATAAAAAATAAAATTACTTGAGCATTGATTTGTTTTTATTTAATTATATATACATATCAAGTCATTAATATACTTTTTTTTTGATAAATTGTCATCAATATACTTTATATTAAATAACTTTAAAAGTCAACGTGTGTTTTAAAATTAAATGACTAGCATAACAATTTAAGAAAAAACAAGCAGTGAAATTGATAAAAATTAAAGTTGATAAATCAAACTGAAAAGCAATCAATTTCCAGCCATTATTGCTTAGTTTTTCAATTGAAATTAACAATATTCTCATTTCATGATAATAATTTTAGTAGTGTTATTTTTTTAATTTATTTGTCTATATATCAACAAGCATAAAAATTTAAAAGTAATTAAATTTATACTAAAAAAATGACTTTAATAAATTTTCAGGTAACTAGTATATATTCACAAGTATCCTTGTAATATTTTAAAAGTGAATTTTAGTCTCATATTAGGAAATAATCCACTCTTAGCTATTGTTTTTTGGTTTTTTAACTGAAATTAACAATATTCTCATCTTATGATAGTAATCTCAGCAGTATCATTTATTTATTTTGTAAGTGAAGAAATTTTATAAACTTATACCTGCTTTTAATTTAAAGTAAAGATCATGATCCATTATTTAATAATTTAAAGTTCTAATTGTAATTAATGGGATCCTAATTGTCATTTGTCCATTAAAAAATGATAATCCGCCGACAACGGTTTTGGAGAATCAATAAAGCTTAGCATGACAATATTGAAACTCTTGAATCTAAAAGGGCAATCTTTTTATGGATAGACTCGTACGTGAAGCACAATGAATTCATTTGGTAGATGAACAGAGAGACGAACGACGATCGTCTTATCTCGTGAAATGAGCAGACAAATATGAAAACGTGGTCCAACGCAATCTCGGCCTCCCAAATGGACCACCTTCAACAGTATAAACGACCCATCACACACCACTTGAGCCCCCTTTACCGATGAAAACGACGACCTTTCAAGCATGCCTCTGCATTCAATAGCCGAAACATGTTGGACCCATTTGGTTTGTATGGAGCAAGACATTAGTCCATTACTTAATTAATTGTTCCCATCTACTACTTTCTTCGACCCAAATTCTCTCTGGCACCGTTTAATAGATTGACTTTTTCACATTTTATTTTTTACATTTCAAAAGTATTTTTTATTTTTAAAATGTGAAATGTTGTTTGAAATATTTTTTTAAAAACAAAAAGACTTTTAAAATAGGTTCAAACATACAAAATCTAATTAAAAAGTGGATTTAAAATGTGAAATGTTATTTAACCATACTACCTCACGTTTAATCTTTTATTTTTTATTTAAAAAATAGTTAATTTATTAAAAATATAATTATCATTTAAATAATGATAATTATATATTAAATTTTTAACATTATAAATTGAATAATTAATCATATTAATTTTTAGCATTAATGTATAATAAAAAGGAAAAACATGACTTTAGATCTTTGTACCTTATTTGCATTTTGCTATTAGTATCTGTACATTTTTTCAATATTTTTGGTCCTTATATTCTTGTTTTGCATTGTTTTAGGTCCCTTTATGAAGAAACTATAGGAACCTTTGAGAGACTTAAAATAATAAAAAAAAAATATAGAAATAAAAAACACTCAAAAAAATATAAGGATTAATAGCAAAATATGAGCAAAGTACAAAAACATAAAGTTATGTTTTTTCTAATAAAAATTATAAATCTTTATCATATTTTTTAAAATTAAAAATTAAAAAGGTTCAAATAATTAGAGATCAAGTTTTTAGCATTATAAATTAAATTTTGTTATTTAAAATCTTTATTACATTTTTTTAATATTTCAAATATATTACATTTGTATAATAAAAATTATAAATAATCATAAATTAAAGTTCTTTTTGACAATTATATATTCAAAAACATATTTTACTGTCATAATCTAAATAACTTTCAGTTTATCAAACTGAAATTTAAAAAAAATGTATTTAAACACAAATTTTAATATAATAACTGACTTTTATTAAATTAATTTTTGCTAAATGAACTTTTAACAAATGTATCTTTGATAAATTAAAAATAAAACACACACTTCATCTCTTTAATTTTTTAGACTATAGGTCCCCCACACAGAGGAAGTTGTGGGGGACTTGGTAAGTTTTCACATACCAGTCACCTCCATTTTCTTCCCCCACAAGATGCTCCTGCAATTAATGCTGAGATTATGCTTTTTCAACCAACCCTGCCTCTGCCGAAGCTTAAAAGAGTAGGTGAATCTGTTAACACTTTAACTCTTGGCTTTCACATGGTTGAGAAAATGCCTCAATGGGTTTTCTAGAGTGAATCTTGTTTCATGGAAATGTCCTTTTGTTTTTTTCTAGCGGAGATTGTATTTATCTACTTGGTCTTTCCTTGCAATCGTAATACTAATTCCTCACGAAATCTCCAAGCAATCGCAACTAATTCATTTTTTAATTGTTAAAATGCTGAATTCAAGTGAATGCATTTACTATATAGAAAAGAAATACTATTAAGACAAATATGTGTAAAAATGAGTTGAGTCTCACACAGTCACGTTGTTGCACATATAAAAGAACCAATTTAATTGAATGCATACGTGTTGGTGGACCATCTGCTCCTCTCTAACTGATTAGATGGATGCATGCTGACTAATCATTTGAGATCAGAGAGAAAACAAAACTGGAAGTGGATGATGAACTCGTAAGGGAAAAATTGGTCATTCCGAAATCCGAATTTAATTGTGAATTTGAAAATATTCCTTACGGGTCATATATATCCAAGGACTCCTGTGTTACGGAAAGTTTTTTACCTATGGGAGCAAAAGAAGGGTACGTGTCTTTTCAGCTTCTGATAGTGTACCAAAGACCAAAACTAAAAGATGTTTACTTTTAGATCTTTGAATGATTCGGTTCCCCATTTTGTTATTTGTGAGTTCTGAAAAAGGCACACTTTGACGATGCATAAAGAAAACTGATGTCACTTTCTTTCTTGGGGTTTAAAGAACCTTGAGAAGAGAAGCTAACCTAATTATACTCATGATAACTTAATCATCAAAAAGACAAACACTTAAGAATACTAAATGATACTAAGGGTACTGTTTCTCAATAATGAAAGTAGAATATTATGTATAATGTACAAGTCATCATTCCTAGAAAAACTGCAGCATTTCTGCAATGCTGTCCAACTTCTCTGGCCCATATTTTATTAATATCCTAATCTTAAAAACTTTTGTCCCTTTCTTTAGTTGTTCCCTTTTCCCTAGACTTAGTTGTGTATTGGAGGCTTTCTCCTTGCTGGAGAATAGTCCATCTCAGCTATGTCTACAAGGTCCGGATACTGCTCGTGATGGAGCCCCCGGTGCTCTGAAGTAGGCAAAGTTTGAACTTTTATTCCCTCTTCTTCCCCATCAGGTTTCACCTTTCTAGTATTGCCATTTACAGAGAAGTGAGCTTCATCCCCTTCCTTCTTCACTTTATTCTGCCCATAGAGCATATGACAGTGTCACAAAGAGGAAAAAGAAGAGATGCCAGAGTTTTTTTTTTTATCCTTAGTTAATGCCTGGTAAGATAATAAAGTCTTTGTCATCTTCAATTTAAACCAACCTTTGAGAGTTCGTGGGTAGAGGAAATGGATGTGGTGACAAGTTTCCTACTCTTTATCGTTCCTGCAGCAGTAAGAACAAATTGAATATGCTTAATATTATGAGATACATGGTACAGGTTAGTGCTGATTGATTTTCTTGAATGACGCTTAAAACACATATTCTGTGTCAAAGAGAAGAGAATCAAACGAGAATGTCTTGCATGATTCTGTATAACTAAAAAAATCAGTCATCAGGAGTTGTTGCGACAAATTTTGCTTGAGAGTTACAGGGCATCGTTTCTAAGATTATGAAGAATGCTTGAGTTAAGAAGAAGCAAAGAAAACTAATGGTGTCTGGGTCTATGGTGTCTGGGTCCATAGTAATCTTCATGAAATCGAGGTAACCAGTTATGTGATTTTCTTGATACTCTAGAGAGTCTTCTCTTCAGGGTACCTGTGCGTTGTTCGTCTTTGCAGAGATTAACTTCCTCAGCTTCGCCATTACTTTTTTCCATCAAGGTACTTTCCTTGTCCTGCGGTCAGAAAAGTGAACTTTTACATTCAAGCATGATTGAAAATGGTTAAAGCTTAGTAGAAACAAACCCACAAAGCTGAACCAAACTTCAAAGTAATGAACACTCACCTGCTGTTTTTGTTGCTGAACTGCTAAAGATTCTCTGTCCAAACGAATCCCTATGGAAAAGCAAAGGAAAATCAGAAACTCCCATTTGCTAAACAACAGAGGAGAAGAAGGCTTAACTGAAGTTCTCACTGCTGAATCTTGAGCTTAATTACCTTGAACCTTAGCAAGAAGGAGGGACAAAAGCAGAAGAGAACAAACTAAAGAAGGCCTCATTTGAAGCTAGCAGGTTGAAGGTCTGGAAGAAAATAGGTAGGAGCGTCTTGTGGCGACTCTGTTAAAAAGCTTGAATATGTCTTGGCCAAAGAAGAGCTTGATTATATGTATATGTAATAGGAACTGATAGGAAGCTTGATGTTTTGGGGTATTGATCTCTGCACAAATACACAGAGATATATATAGAGGACAAAGGGGTCCACATGTTAAATTCTTCAACTTAAACTGTGAGTGGGATTTATTTGTTGTCTTATGGCATTCCTTAAAGTGCAACTATATGTCTGGAGAAATTAAATTACAAATTATTTGAACTCCTGATCATTTAAGTGCATGCTTAGCTGTTAAAGAATAGTAGCAAGACTGCATTGAAATGTGTTGTGGTGAACAAACTACAATTAGTCAACTAGTGTTCTCTTTATTGGAAAGTGAAGACACAAAAAGCCAAAAAGAACAATTAATGGAAGTACGAGAAGAGGAGACACAGAAGGAAGATACATCAAGTTTTGAGAAATGATATGCTTAATTACAGTGTTTTTATTTTTTGGGGATTATAAAGGAAGAATTTTTATGAACCCTAGGCGGTAAGTTTGCATGTGGATTGCTTTGTTCTTCACAAATTCATGCGTTCATGTGTTTGCAAGCTTCCATAATGCCAGCCCCATGTTTATATCCCTTGCACTTTTTGTGAAACAAAACTACAAAAGCATGTCTTCTTCCAATTTTTCTGTCCTCGTTCCACTCAATGTCTCTTTTGAGTTCTGAGGATTTTATGATAATTAAGTTTAAGTTCATTTGGATCGTTCCTCTCAGCCACAACTTTAAAAATAAAATCTTAATTACATTACATTCTTAGGGATAAACAATTATAATAATTAAACTTATAGTTAATTAATTATTTTTAAAATTAAACACTTTTTTCATATTTATCTTTATTTGATAAAGTGTTTTGATTAGACAATTTTATTAAGTATACCTCCTAATTAAATGTATTTTTAAAAAAATTAATTAATTGTATTTTAGAAGATTCAAAATGCTTTATATTTTTAACATAATACTTTTAAAAAAATATTTTATAATATAAAAGGAGGAATATGTAATTATATAAAAACTCTAGTAAGTCTCACGACCATTCATGAACAGTGAGTATCGTTACTCGTTTATTAAATTTCATGTAATGCAAATGCATTAGTTTTCTTAAGAGTATTCAAATAATATTGGCTAATTTCATCATGTGATATAATTTACAAATTAATTTTTTTTTGAATCATCAAGTATATAGCATTATTAAATTGATAATTTAAAATTCATTTTTAAAACTTAGTAGAACCAGTCCATTTAAGTTCAACTAAAAATTTATATATCAAAACTTTAAACCCGACCCTCGATTCAAATGAGCTAACTTGAAGGGCTTAACTCATTTTTTTACCTTTAAAATACAACAAGAAGAATATTTTATGTATTTTATAAGGAGAAAAAATAGAGTTAATGGCTCTTTGGATATGGTTTATAAATAGGAATTTGAGAATTTATCTAAAGGGCATTAAACAGTGGATCCAATTTAGAGAATTGAATTATTGACCTAACGAACATGATTTATGAAGAGGGAGGGAGAGGAGATGATGATCGCTTTCAATGTTGGGCGGAGCATTGCGTGTTGCCTTCCACGGCATTATTGAAATGGAAATGAATTGAAGAGAAGAGGAGTTAATGTGAAGGCGATGTGCAACGTTTTGATTGCGAAAGGCGTCGTTTATGGTGGTCGCATCGCCGTTTCGTCCTACGTGGCATTTTTGTCTGTTAGTTGCTTCTGAGTGAAAAGCCCAATCCACGTGGATGTCAGAGTCCCAAAGGCCAAGGGAGGAGGGAAGCCCTCCGCTGCAGCTGAAGAGAAATCTGGACCGTCCGGATTTATTTAAAAGGGCCAAATTTAATATTTTTTTATTTTATTAAAATAAAAAAAGTAAATTATAAAAAATTTTAAGAAATCTTTTTATAAGCTCGGATAGTCTAAATTTAATGCATATAATTCACATATAATATTAAAATTTAAGAAAAAAAGAAAAGAGATTATGGCAAGGGAAGAGGAGAGAATCTAAAACCATATTTAATGATATGATATGTTCAGGCTCCAGACTGAGTGTCCCAGATTTTATTTTCTCATTCAACAACATTTAGGGAAAACAAAAAGAAATACGAGAAAACATAGGATTATCAATTAATCAAACCACGGAGGATTTACAAACAATTTAAAAGGAAACACAGTGTCCACTTTTTTTATATATATTAAGACAAACGTTTAAGAAACGGAATGTAAATCAACCTGGGAGAAAAACTAAATACAAAATTAAAAAAAAATCCTCAAGGATGTCCACAAGCATAACCAATCAAAATAAAGAAACTTATCCTACTCTTTCAGGAACAAAAATATTTTTTTTTCGTGCACAAATTAATTCAACAGCTTTAGGGATTGAGGTGGTAGGTGAATAATCAATCCTAAGAAAACGCCTCGTTGATGTAGCATTGACCAATCAATCAATAATTAAAGTTTTTCCTGAAAATCAACAAAAACAAAATTGTGGCTTTCCATAAATTTCCTTCAAGAAAGGATATTAATAGAGGGCGGGGGAGGGAAATGACCTTAATGAATCTTTGATTTGCTGGTTAAAAAAAAGAAAGAATCTTTGATTTAGGAAGAGAGAAGAGATGAATCAATAATAAGTTGATAATTTTATTCCTATCAAATTTAAATTTTTTTTTGTTTTTATTTTATTGTTAAAAATAATTATATTATATTATATTAATTTTTGTTTAAAGGATATTAACTTATATTGATAACATTTTTAAGAATAAATACATTGAAGTTATATTTTATCTGGTGTGTGCAATGAAAAAAATGTCAAAATTTTAGACGTTAAAAAATTATACAAAGAAAATGACATTAAAGTCTCAAAACAATGAATTTATAATAATTAAAAATTCCAACAAAATTTTTTTAAAAATAAGTTATAAATGTTGATTCAAGCAGTTTATAAATATAAGAGTTATAACTATAAATAAGATATTTAAATTTTAAATATAACTCTTAATTTATAGTTGGGATTTATGTTTGCAACTGTTTGAATCAATATTTAAAACTTATTTTTTTTAAATTTTTTTTGGGACTTAATTTTTATAAATTGTCTAAGACTTTATTGACATTCTTTCAATTATATATTAATTTTTGTAAGATAATAAAATTTATTTTATTATAAAATAGAGGGGAAGATTATACATAATTTTTTAATATCAAGGGTAATTTAAAAATTTTGAAATAATAAGTCAATAATTTAGTCTATAATTACTCTCTCTCTCTCTCATTTTCTCTTAAAAAAACACAAAATTGGAGGGTGGGGTTAGGAGGGGAGAGAATGGGAGTTGTTCCAATCATTGTTTCAGCCATGAGGAGCCCATTTAATATATTTTTACTCAATCAAATTAAAATAAATAAATTTTAATGTGTTAATACTATTAATAATAAGATTTTTTTATGGAATAGATAATTTATAAAAAATTTACATATTTTAATTTAATTAAAAATAAAATACTTTAAATACATAAGACAATGTGTATGAGTTTTCTACTTTTTTTTCTTATCCCTCCATGCAGCGGTTATCCCTAAGAATTTGGCCAAGATATTAAATGGTAATATATATGTATCAAGATAAGATTTATATACTTAACCTTACATACTTAATATATTTTTAGCTAATCAAATCAAGATAAGTGAAACATGTAGATTTTAATGTATGAATAATATTAATAAAAAGAATTTTTTATAGATTAAACAACTTATAAAAATACAAACATTTTAATTTAATTAAAAATATATATCTTATTATATAAAATTAAATATATAAGCTTTTCCCTGTATATAAAATTATGAGAGATATGCTCGAAGATTTTTTCCTTCTGTTACATGCATGAAAGGTGAGATTTGCCTAATTTGTTATGCTTTATCTCTGCTTTTACTTGTTAGTCTGGCATACTTTTTTTTTTATTGATGTTATGAAAATCTAATAAATGAGTCATACCGTTTATATTTGAAAAAATATCATCATGAAAGTGACACCCTATTTAAATAATAATACTTAAATTATATAGTTTAAAAAATGATACCAAACAGTTTTAAATTTGGCCATATATACTTGTGATTAATTTAATTTATTTTTAGGTTATACTACTGTTGTTTATATATGCTTTCATCCTTTTAAATTATAAGACAATTTAATACAATATTATGCATAAAGCTTGATAATAAAAATTTATCAATTTATTTTTTCAAAATAAAAATAAAAATTTCTAAAATTTTCTTGAATTTAAATTCACATACTTAATTATTATATTATATTCATTTCAATTTTTCTACTTAATATTGAAAAAATATTATTAGCAATAAATTATTTTATATTTTGAGAGAAAGATAAAAATAATACTATCTTCATTAAAAAATATAAGATATTTTTTGATAGGTTGAATATTAAAAAATACTCCCTCTAATTAAAATTATAAGGTATTTTTAACTAAATTTTGTAACATCCCAATTTAAATTTTAATAGTTAATTTGGGTTAATATAAATTTAAAAAAAATAATAATAATATTTAGATGTAAAAAAATTAGTAGAAAATGATTATTAAATCTAATTTAGGATATAATTCTAAAAAAAATTTTAAAAAAAATTTTATTAAAAAAATTAATTAAAAAAATAAAAAATATTATTAAATTATTATTATAATAAAAAAAAGGGAAAAGGTATGAAAAAAAAAGAAGAAGGAAAAAAACGTGAATGCTTTCGGCCACCTCAATAGTAAAATAAAATAATAAAAAAAAGAAAGAAGAAGAAGAGAGAGGAAATAATAAAAAAAAATGTGTGGGACCCACTGAATTTTTATAAAAACTCACCCGTTTCCTTTCGTCTCTTCATTCTTCGTGTGCATGAGCTGAGACTGAAAGAGCGTCTAGTTTCACCGGTGCGGGAGATCTGAGTTTTTAAGGTAAAAGTTTTTAATAGGATATTTAGAGTGTAATTTTAAGCTTTTTAAGACTAAGTAAGTGTTCTAAAAAAAATTTCTTAGTCATCCTTCTTCTTTGGTTTCTGATTTTGTAGTGG